ATTTGTTAACATTGTCAGCCATTTGTACATTTTGCCTTTTAAATGCAAGTGAATGATTAGTTTTCTTATTTCGTTAGAAACAGCTTTACCACGAGCCATTTTGTCAGCTTCTTAGCAACGTAAAATGTTATCTGTTCCACAAAGCCTACCTTTTTTTTATCGAAGCTTTAAAAATAGCCTTGTTTGTTATCTTCCCATAGACATTTAAAGAAACCAAAAATTTTATATCTAAAATAAAATTTTCATTAGCCCTCAAGTAAATTCACAAATATCATGTTCTGGGGCGTTTTGCCAACTTCACTGAGACAGGGCTCGCATATTCCCAACATTTGGAGCAGATAGCACTCTTCTGTGAAAATCGTAACCAGAAGATTGAGTAACTCTGCTTTTGTTAAATTGTCACAGCATTTCACGCTTGTCTGGGCCTGATACAAACTCCTTGGTCTGTATATAGTGATCTCTGACTCCGTTATTCCTATGGCGAATTTAACATGACATCTGCTAATGGCATTGAAGTCACATTTTGGTGCCGCTAGTGTCACTGGAGGTGGAACCGACAAAAAAAGATCGTGTTGCAATGCATGTTCGACAGCTCGGCACGGGTATCATGTAAAAAACCTACAAAACGTCAAAAAAAAAACCTATAAGATGTCAACTTGCAGACTATGTAGTTTTCAGGCCGCAGTCATTCCACGTTTGCTCACTAGGATCGTTGTGAACGTCCATCTATAAAGGAATCACGCAACTAAACTACACGCATTATTGGTTGCATAGTTCTGTGAGGCTGAGTGATCCGTGTCTGTAGTTTTTATCTCTGAGAAGAAAGTTGGTTGAATAACAAGATCGCATCTGGATGATTATGTGTATTGGTCTGCATGTGTATAAATTCAGTGATATTTGCTGTGTGAGAAAATAATTACTGAATATGCTGAATATGACGGGTTATTTATATGTTGTGCTTTCTGAAGAGAGGTTATGTTCACAGTTATAAATTACGAAAAACTAAGGAGAATTACGGGAAATAATCACCGCGCCCGCGTTGTGTGTAATTACTGTTAGCATGTATATGGCTTGTAATTCGACAGTGTACAGTAAATGTAATTATTTCTTAACTCTCATTTTTTAAATTCAGCAAATTTGTATATGTAATTTCCAGAATGGATAAGAAAAAGTGGATGCGCAACTAATTTCTAGCTTTCAATCTCAATTAAGTGTATTTGAGACAAGAACCCAATCATCAACACATACAACTTACAGCTTAGACCTCCAGTAATGCCATCTCAGAAGCAGATTTTACATCACATCAGAGCCAAAGATTTATAACAAGCCTCATGACATTTAGGCAACACGTACAACTAAGTGCTAAGTCAACGTCTTGGCGAAAAACCTACATAATGTCAAAAAAAACAGCATAATGTCAAGAAAAATCGGCATGTCACTTTTCAAGATACGTGATACCCGTGCCGCAACCCAAGCACGATTATGGCAGATTTGATTGAAAGATAATGTCTGTCACCTTAGACATGATTGCCAACCCAACTAGCTCCATTTAAGTCGCATTCCCAGCATCGTTTTGGGGCCAATGCAAGAACTTTTGCGCCTAGACTTGTCAGGCAATTTCCTTTCTCCTTTCCTGGTATACCTCTGTAATTTTTATTATATTTTTTATATAATAAAATAAGCTGAAATGGAGTTGTTAATTTACAAAATAAGGAGAGTCTATCCTGATATTGATAGATGGATTCTTTATTGTAGATTTGGTGGTGAGGATAGACGTTGAATTAAAATACTGAACTATAAACACCAAACAGAATTAGCCATCTATGTACGTCAAGTTGCATTATGGTGAAATTTTTGAAGTACAACATTCTCTTTGAAATATTTTTATACATTCATTTGATATATGGATTTTATATGAATTTATCGAAACATTTGAACAGTTGTATTAGTCGTAGAGTTGTCACATTGTTGTAAAATTTGCCAAAGATGTCTATGTGAAAATGTTCGAAGTATTTGATGACAATTTTTATGGATATACATATATGCCAAAAATTCTACCAAATTTAAATTCAATGGCTGATCTCTGAGTTGATTTTTGCTTTCATTTTTCATTTGTATTCCTGTGCACTCGTGTATTATGAATGTATTAATTTTTATATAATAAATTTATGAACATCACTCTCGCCGTGTATTTCTTTCGAATTTCTCAAAAATTAACCCCTTACCGCATAGTGGGTCATATCTGTGACAATTTGTTTTTAAATATTTCCATTACAAAACGAATAAATGTTCATATATGGCACAAATCCATCAATGTAGCCCTACCCAGTGCAGCTACCTGTGCTATGAATTCTCATATCCAGCAGACTCTGAACACTTTTATAAATTCCCAGTTTTATATACAATAAACTAGTTTTTTTGCCTTTTTCATCCCATCAATTGAAAAAAAAACAATGTTTTATTATATAAATATATTTAATAACTATTTGATCTAAAATTACATGATCATTAGTAGAAGTACGATTTTCATTTTCTCTGCTATTTATTAGGGGAATATGGTTTTTTAGCGACTGTATTCGCACTTGGACGAGGAAAACCCTCAGAATACCTCAACCGTCACTGCTAAGATTAACTGTATCAGATGAAGAAAAATTTAAGTTGTTCCACAATTCTGGGTTCATTTGTACAACCGAAATCACCATGCCACAGTTATTAAATTTTTTAAGTAAGAACCGTTTTGTAATCGAGTCGGAGAAATCTTATTTATGAATGTAAATTATATGACAAACTGAAATATGAACATTTTTTCACAAACGATCAAACACAAGTGTCAAGTGTCGCGGCACCAGTTTTTGGTTAATGTTGCACCTAAAACTTATGCTGTGGTTTTCATATCGACTATTTCCCTCGACTTATAAACGCGCAATTTTGAATTACAAGAGCTTTCTAGATGGAAAAACTGTATGACAGCACCTGTCAGCAGTTTTTTGGGGTTTACCCGCGGCAAAACGTGACAGCTGTTGTCACCAAAAATTACAATACCTTTGGTAACAAGTAATCATGGTCTCCTAGGACACCAGAAAACGACGCTAAACAATGGTAGTATGTTTCGTAAGCTGTGTGATGTATCTGTAACTCAAACATTCAAAAACGCGCAATTTTGAATTACAAGAGGTTTCTAATTTGAAAAATTGTATGACAGCACCTGTCAGCAGTTTTTTGGAGTTTACCCGCGACAAAACTTGACAGCTGTTGTCACCAAAAATTACGATACCTTTGATAACAAGGAATTATGGTCAACAGAAAGCGACATAAATAATTAAGCTCGTAGTATTTTATGATTAAATAAGTTACGGGTTTTTAAGTTTTCAAATTAATATCTACACATTTATGCAGAATAATCTGTTACTCATGAAATAGTCTTGACAGATACCTTTAGGGCATCTAATTTTTTCCTGTGAAAATATCTCAGAAACCACTATCTAGCGACAACCTTACAGAAAGCTATATTTTTATTGTTTAACCGTTCAAATTGTGAAGACAGGTGGTTCTATGAGAAAAAAAATACTTATGGGTTTTTATAGCTCAATTTTTATTACATGCTCTTTTTTACCACCCTGTTTATTAATTATACTAATATCGAATAAAGTCTACTAATACGAACACTTAATACAATCCATATTTACGTGAATTAATCTCACTTTCTTGTGTAAGAAAATTATTTAACAAAAACCACTTTTAACTCTAAATCGACTGCCTGTCCGTTCATCGTCCAAAAACAAATATTTAGGCTTAAGAACTTACCTGAAGACATTCAGTTTCGCCAGAAAGATCGGAAGAAGGCACAATATTCAACGTGAAAATACAAAGATATTCGCCACTAACATGTCACACTTTTACACACAATTATTATCACAAAATTACACTCCACTTATCATCATGACACTGCGGAAAATTGCCGATAAATGCTTCCCTGCACACAATATCAACTAGTTTTCTGAAGTAGAGCGTTGCACGGAGGTCTCGACGCACTATTCTCCACGAACGTCAACCGAGAACTGGACTGTCTTTCTTGGACGCCTACTAAACACAGCTATGTTTAGTAGTCGATGGGCGACTACTTAAACATCAAGCGGGCGGGTTATGGACTATGAGCGTAATCACAAACTACAAAAAGCATTAGCTTACAATAATTGATACATCATTAAAGATTAAACATTCTTTCTATGTTGCAGTTTTTGGATATCCATACCAGATTTCCGCCAGGTTCTTGAGGAAGCAGTTAACCTCACTGATTCACTTCAGTGTATGAACTGAATCACTTCCCGGCGAGTTTAACTTGAGGAAAAGATACTGTAAAACACTGAAACAACTCCGATGCGCAATTCAGAAACCAGAAAGATTAATTTTGAGCAAGTGCGTAAGGATTCTCAAACGATTACTCTTCTGCAATTTGGATGGCGAGATCTTCACCCACCAACGATATACTGCGAACTTGGCACCGTGTGATTCCCATCTGTTACTTAAGTTAATAAAACACTCGTCAAGGCATTTCATGTTTGACGAACAGGTGAAAAATGGAGTTCAATGCTTTCTTAAGAGTGAACATAGTGAAATGGTAGGTAGTATAGACAGCGACCTTTTCATATCTGAAAATAAAAAAAGGTCCAAATTCGTTATTTACGGATATACAGGGGGATTTATCTAACTATGCAAAATCAATAGTCACCTATCTCAGGCGCTATTGAACCGATTTTGTTGAAATTTTGCAAAAATGTGTACAGTCAAAATAAAAAGTGTATAGCATATTTTCATCGACTTTCCAACGCCGTCGATTAGAAAGTAGATGCACTAAAATTTTCGATTTTTGTTCACAAGTTTTTTTTAGAAATTCGACATAGTTTTCCTGTAAGTTTGTTCACTAGACAATTGTTACGTTCGTATACTTCGAAACATGACTTACTCTACAGATAGTAGAAAGGTAAAATCAAACACAAATATAAAATTGTGATGTTTTTATTTATGTTCTTAACAAGTATTGATTTATTCTAAAAGTAACGGTCCAGTAACCTGCTGTATTCTTTGAGATAATTGTTTTAACCCCTTAACGAATTGATGAGTGAGTGGATGGATGGCTTGTTCAAGTTTTGCTTACAATACAAAACTCTGACACATTTACAGGCAGTAATAGATCCTATCCACTTAATAGCTGAAATTCTACGTGTCATATGACATGTTCATTGAGTATTTCTCTTTTTATCAAGGTACATCATTACACACCGATCTTGTGCGAACGTTTTCTAAGGAACTTACTGCAAGAGAGTTTTTGAGCAGCATGGTCATCTCTTCAGCAAAATAACATGTACTTTATTTTATGAAAATTTTCGGATAATTCACTACAGACGATACTTATAATCATTGTGTAGAAAGTAACATTTTTCATTTGTACGTCCTTAAAATAATATATCTTGACATTACACTTACAAAAAATAATTATGCGGTTTTTTCAAAGAAACATGTCGGTCGAGCAACGAGTAAATTGCTGCACATAAACACGCTTTTTTCATACTATAGTATGTTTCCAGATGATTTACCATATGATTGCGCAATTTTAAAGGGTAGCGCGTATGTGTATGGCCAAAAAGAAATAACTATTTGGCGTATCATGGAATGGCGCGGAACTCCTTCCAGATAAAAGAGTGCCTGAAATCCTTTCCCGTTTTATAAAGGGGAGTTTCTATGCGATACGGCCAGCTATTCCCACCTTAAAAGCATGCTTCCCTTGAAGAATCTAATATCAAAATGAATTCTGGGAGGAACTTCTGATGCACAGTATCTGTCATCAGGAGTTCCACAGGGTTCAGTACTGGGACCTCTTTTATTCCTAGTATACACATTCGATCTGCATGAGTGTGTAGAACATTGTTGCATTCAAATGTATGCTGACGATACACAGCTAACATTTCGTTTCAATGAATCCAACTTACATGAAGCATCCTACAAAATTAACCTAGATCTTGACAACGTATTAACGTATTGCAATAGACACTGTCTCCGCATCAATCCATCAAAATGCACCGCGATACCATACTGTCCTAGACATTCAAATTACAACATCACAAATCGGGTCTCCTTGTTTATCAACGACATAGATATTCCATTTTGTGATAATGCTAAGAATCTAGGTGTTATATTTGATTCAGATCTTCGATTTAACTTACATGTGAATAATATTATGAAGTCGAGTTATATGAAGATGAAGCTTTTATATTCTAGTCGCCATATTCTAAACTTTAAGTGCCGTAAAAAGTTGTGTGAAAGCCTCATATTATCAATTTTAGCTTACTCTTTAGTCCTCATTTACCCATGCCTAGACTCAGCTTGCAAGTCAAAATTGCAGAAGCTTCAGAACAACTGTTGCAGATTCATATTTGGGCTTAGGAAGTACAGTAGCGTTTCTTCAAAAATCAAGGAGTTACAGTGGCTCAGAGTTGACGGCTTATACAACTACTCTATGGCTTCATTGGTGCATAGAATTTTTAAAACTGGTAAACCCGTCTATTTGCTCTGTAAGTTGATTCCTCGTGGAAACCAAATTACTCTAAATCTGCGGCACAATGATCTACTTTCCATTCCTATACATCGTACGTCGGTCTTTGAAAGGTCCTTTACTTATAATGCGGTCAAGGTATACAATTCTTTGCCAGCTATCTCTAAGAGCTTAAGTTTGCAGCGCTTCAAGAAGACAGTCAAGTTGCACTTTCTGGACTCAGCACATTGAGTGATAAATTCATTTTTGCTGAATGATATCTTGTTCTTTTGTTTCTTTTCTTTGTATATGTTCATATTTGTTGTATATATTTTTAATGCATTCGTTACAGCTACTGATTCATGTTGTTATGCTAATGTTTTGTAATGTCTGGTTGTAGTATGGTTAAGTGGTAGAGTAGCCATGGCTAAACTTCGCCATACTATGATCATCTTTTGAATAAAGTCATTATTATTATTATTATTATTAATTATGTGATATAACACAAAGGATGAATACAAATGAAAAATATTACGACGCGTTTAAAGTATGAGATTTCAGATTTATTCGAAGTGGTATTGCACTGTTTCTTGAACTACACGATTATAAAAATCCAACTAAGCAGCTTGTAAGAAAAACAAAAACAACCTTTCCATGGAGGCTTAACCATATCCAAATTATAGATAGAGCAAAGCATGAAAACTTTTACCTGCTCGATCAGACTATTCCATTTTTCGAGTATATCAATAGTATCAGTCATAACGTATTTTATCTGAAGATAGCTTACCATGTACTGTATTCAGGCGTCCAAAAAGTGATTTGAAAGATATCAGCGCCATCTATGAGGTAGTAAAAGAACACAAAAATGAATTCAGAAATCTATTTTGAAAGGGGTCAGTGTTTGGTCCTGCTAGTGCCCCATAGAAGGGGCTTTTTGGTGCCTCTCTAATGAGTAATGTAATTGGGTATCTTCAGGTGGAATACGATAATCAACGCCTGAAGATACCCAATTAAAAGAGGCATTAGAGAGGCGCCGAAACAGGATTGAAGCTCCTCGCGCCATCTATGAGGCACTAGCTGAATCAAATTAGATTTCTAAATTCCGTATTGCGTTCCGCTACTGCCTTATAGATGGCGATAGAAATCTATCTTCAGGTAGTAGAATGCACGGTATTCCACGCGTCATGCTTGTGTTTACCGCTTGAATGTCGATGGGTTTAGTGTGTAGATACGAGATAGCTTGAATAAGTGTTCCGAACATCGATTGTAGATATAAAAGCGAGACATTACTTGATCGACAGTGGCTGGTTAATGGTTAGGTTCGCGTCGGGGTCAAGGACGAGATAGTAGCTTTATACACCAATAATCTACATAATGTACGTCTAAGGGGTATTTGAACCACAATGGTAGGACAAATGTACACAATAAATAGAGCGACGATGGAGATATTAGTTTTGAGAGTTCTCAGCGCTAGCGAAATGTGTTTACATTGTAAGATTGCGAGCAAATTTCAAAAGTGTCTACTAAATAAACATACACTTATTATATCATAAGGAAACAATAAATCTGCTTGGAGCTTTTGTTTGTATACCTTATTTCTTTTACTGAGGCATTATCTTTTGAATCGTTAAAAATGTAAAATATCTACGAGGGCGGTGCGATAAGTACTCACTACTCTGCAGTCCTCCAGAAAATGTATTTTTCAGACGGGTTAAACAGTTGGGAGCATCGCTGGATCAAGTGTATCTAGCTGAAAGATTACGTTGAAAAATAAATCATTTTTCCAAAATTTTCGTTTTTCTTTTGTAGGTTAAGAACTTATCGGACCTCATCTATGACATAGGTATAGTAAGGGAAAGCCCAATAGGCGATTTTAGGATTTACCCAAAGGCGGCACATTCACATAAGAAGGGATACCTTGTTGAGTACATCCACGATATTAAGCCCTTTATATAGGGGCGTACGTCTAAGGCTGCTGATCAGAAGTATTTTTTTGTATTTTTCAAGTCCGCCATGAGTTTACGTCATCTCCGAATCGTCAGTGTTTCAAATGGGAGCATCTTTTGGGTTCACTTAAATCTTTGATGCTCTCGATTAAATTTATTTATTTTTTTTATTTTCTACCGTACAGCCACCCTCAAATACAAACAGGCAGATTATCATACCTCCAATATCAGAGACAAGTGGGGCATAGACACCATATTTTTACATTTCTGAAAACCTGTAGGCAACCACCCTCACCAGTGAAACGTTATTTTTTCTGCCCCATAATCTTCAAAACCCAGTAGGTCCCTACGACGTTTGAGTTATACCCCATTAACCATTTTGGGCTTCCCTACTAGTACGAGTTACAAAAATAAGGCAAAAAATATGACAAAAAAATCGCGCTTTTGTTGAACATGAAACCGCAGTATACAGCGTGACGTGACAATATTTCTAGAGTATATAGTTGAAAAAAAAACTTTAAAAGTTCACATAAACATGGGTTCTACAATGGCCCCTTAAGGAGATAGGGTGTTGATATAATTTTGAAATAAAAAATATGTATGTTTGGAGCGGATCAAGACATTGACTTGAAAGTTTTGACCTGTAGTATTAGTAGTAGAGTGCTGACTCGGAACAGTAGAAAACTATGAAAATCAAGGAGGCCATAAAGGCGTCCTACAATTGCAGGAGCGACTGACGATACGACCCTTAGACCCATTTTTATAGGAACTTTTTTTGATGAGCCTCCTACTTTGGAAGTATTGCCACGTTTTTCAGAATCTGATGCAAACCTGCTCGCAATCCATTAGTCTCTAAAATGAAATGATTCTCGTCTGAGAACTCTATCTTACGATGGATGTGGGCAAAGCAGCGACAATCACTTCTATATTTACATTTCTCACACTTTTAGAATTCGTTATGGTTACATGTTTGTTGACGTAGACAAAAGAATTACATGGTAGCTAGCTATGAATAAATAAACTTATTTACAAAAGGATATTCATTTTAAAAAAAATAATACGTAAAGTAAATCTTGGATAATATATACAAAATATTAAAAATCTATTGCTTATGTACACCTAATCTATTTTGGGCGGATGAAAATTGCGACAGGCGCGCTTAATAAGACAGCTTAATATTTTTTTTGTCAGTTTTCTAAAGCTCTAAAAAAGCCTGAAGGCATAGTCGTTCCTTTACTCGAAATTATGATGCCTTATATGCCTTAGGAGTGTCAGGAAAGTTGTCAGATATATTTCCTAAGCAGAAAATCAAGTATCAGGAATTTCGGGACTAGCCGTCAAATGAACCCGAGATTTTCAAATTTAGAAATGTTTAGGATGCGATCAAAAATCATTTTATGAATACTCAAAATGCATAGTGATGTAAGAATGCAAAATGAAAGAAAATCGATTAAAAAATGTGTAAGCGAATAATTATTCTACACTGAAATTAATGCTAAATAAATCTTCAACAAACAAATGATTAGGGCATCAGAAATTTAGGTAATGGATTAGATGCCTTAATAGGGTCTCATCAGTTTATTTTTTGAGTTTCCATCAAACAATAGTTGGTTCTACAACGAGAATTGAAATTTTCAACATAATTAACCCTTTCGATACTAACGGGTTATATAAATCCCAGCAAAAATTCCTTCATCTAATTACGCATTATGAATAACAGTAAATGCATTCAGATTACTGTAGGGACATACTATATATGTCCCATACTGATGTTTTTAAATATTATTCGGTGCTATGTCAACTTAAAACGTATTATGCATTGTCCCAGTTGTAACGTGGGCTTTGTCTTAGATACTATCAACAGGAAATTATATTTTGAGGTTAGGTTGTAGCATTATTCTGCAATTTGTAAACAAATGCACTTGTGTTTTTGGATTCAAATTCGTTCAAATGTGATTAAACAACATGGACAGGTAAGTAGTCATGTATACTTATTATACATAATTATTTATAATTATCTAAAGAAATACATCGAATTATCGACTTATATGTCCCAACAGTAATGTATAGTCAGTAGTTAGTACAGTGTATAGTTAGAATAATAATCAAATTATACCCATTTGTAAGGACATCACAATGCAGTCACCAGCAAATCCCATATGAATACGTTCGAAATATTTATGATATTACAAATTGATATAATTTTGACTATAAGCGTTACTATTTTTGCATAGGTCTCATTTTATCTTTTTATTTTCTAGAAAAAGAGCGTTAACTGCTAAAGAACTTGCGCGGAAAATAAATGAGTATGGGTTGACTGACGTCTATAAGTCAGAATCGGATATTTCATCTGAAAGTGATCTGGAGCTTCCTGCAAAAGTAACAACCAAGAGAAAGCTGAAAACAATTTGCCTGATGATGAAATTCTTAGCGTACAGCCTAATTTAGCGTCAGATCTTGGGGAGATTGAGGTAGAGCCTAACCCCATCAGTAAGAAGAATATTCACTGGAGCACAAGTGGATCTTCATTTATTCCTTCAAAGAGTGTACCTACCGCGCATGTTACACGTATTTTATATGCAGATATTACTCATAAATCATCTGAACTCTAGTGTTTTTTGAAATTAGTTCCCAGAAGCAGAAGTCAAAAAAGCAATATCTTCCCACCGATTATCACGAAATGATGTTGGTAATTGGTTGTTATTTTGTCATGGCATACAACAAAGTACCATCTTCATCTAATTATTGGTCATCTAACAAATCACTTGGAAATGAGGCTATCAAAAATGCCATCTCTACAGACAGATTTTTTCTCCTTACATCAAAAATGTATTACAACCATCCAGACAAACTTTATTACATTTCTGAAGTTATGTCATGTCTCAAACATACATTTCCAAAAGCTCGAACTGACAGTAGTTTTTAAAGTATAGATGAATGAATGAATAATGGTGAAATTTAAAGGTCGTTCGTCGCTGAAACAATATCTTCCGTTAAAACCAAAAAGAGAGGTATTAAGATTTGGGAGAGATGCGATTCTGACACTGGATATGTATATATGAACATACTAGTATATGTGTGGAGAAAAATATTTTACACGATCAGCCTCAAATGCATGGATACTATTCAAAGAAGCTCATAAGCGTGATGTTCTGTTCATTACATTTCTAGCAAACCTAGCAGAAGATTTGATAGACACAGGTCGACATAAGCAGGTGTTGTTAGAAAACACTGTAGTGGCAGACTTTCAAGTTCATCAATAGATCTCGTAAACGTAGGAGATCATTTGCCGTTTCTAGGAAAATCTCGTCGTAGATGTCATTCATGTACTTCTCGAAAAGTGGAAAAAAGAACAAAGACTATGTGGTCAGCATGTATGTTAAGCTTCCCTTGTGCAATGACTGTTTCCAATCCTTCCACACTTAAATGTTAGAAGTTTATTATTTTCGTTCATGTTACATTTTTAACTAAAGTATTTTTGTTACTAGTGGGACATTTGTATCCATTTTTTCCCTACTGTTGGGACAAATGTGTTTTGTATTTTTTGTTTATTACTTAATAAATAAAAAAAGGGTTTCTCTTATTTAATCCATTGATATTTGTTATGTAGATAAGGTATTTTGCACGAACACTAAAAAAAAAAAGAAAAGTCGTATTTTGAATGCCGATTTTTGCTGGGACCCGTTCGTCCCAACTGTAAAATTACGTTCATCTTTTTCAAAATAAAGTCGTATTGAAAGGGTCAAATTTGTACTTAGTCCTGAAAGAACAGGGACAAGCTTCATCGGTCCCGGTTCTTCAGTCCGATTCCCTGGGCTTAAATTTTTACGGAACTATTCTGCTCAAGGAATGACGATGCATCCGGCCTTTAGAAATACTCATTTAGTTTTTTCTGCAAAGGTGATATACATAGAAGAAACATTAGAGATCACAAAACCGGCACAGATAAAAGGCGTTTTATAATACACAAATTCACATACAGATACTGAATGAATTAGCAAAGATGACAAGGGAAATGCTGGTGGAATATTTATCAAAAACATGTATTATTGCTCTGTTTGTGGTCATTTTTAAAGGTGAAGATGCGAACATTGGAATTTGAAAGGTAAAGGGCGATGATAAAATCTTCACAGCAAATATTACTGAATACAAATTCAAACACGAGTCAATCAACACTGGATCAACATTGAATATTCCACATTAGCCATGTGGCTGGAAAATTACTATACTTTCTAGAATGTTTGAAGATCAACACTGTTTCCGACTTTAGTAGTAATAAGATCAACTCATGTTTGGCTGTATGTATAGTTTAAACACTGCACTACTCGTCAAGCCCAAAAAGCTACCGCTGTTACAATTGTAGTGTTGAAAAATCATACGCATACCTTAGTTTTAAATAGTTCACCAAAGTATATTGGTTATCCTGCAGCTATATCCAAATTTAGTCCGTATTTTCTTAAATAATATCAATGAATTACAAAATTCATCATCGTCTCGATATATTTTGAGGGTAGTGATAATAGCTCAAAATATGACAGTAGTAGCTATTTTATACCTTTAAAATGACAACAGAAAATGGCTTGAGTATCGAGTTCCAAAAGCATTGTTGCAGCATATATTTTTTGGTAGTGCAAAGAAATGGTTTTTCTATCATACCCAAATATCAGTTTACAGGATATAATAGTAAGCATTTTTTCTGATCAAAGTATAAAATCGCTACTATATATTTTTTTCAGTTACTACCCATTAACTGACCTTACCTTGCCTAAATAACAACCTCTATATTGAGGATGTCAATTTCAAATAGTGCAATAGCAGTTTGCGTACGACTTTTCGTAACAGCCTGTCACAATTTTCCTCCGATTTTGTAAAATCAATCGTATATAAAAGCAAATTAATAAAAAAGAATCACTTTTAAACGAACTCACAGTATATATAATCTTTGTTGTTATCAACTACACAGGGCGTGCCAACATTACAAGCGTCAAAAACGTATCCACTCATTCGGCGACGATGCAATTTAAATACAAATTCGAATTTTCCAACCCGAATTTTTTGATATATAATTATTTGGTCTCACCCAACCGCACCCAGTAACGATTTTATTTTTGCATGACCAAATATTTGAGACTCAAAAATAGATTGTGGATGAGCGAAGCATTGAAAATGGTAGATAAATTTTTACGCGGACTTGTTTTGACACTCAGTACATCTTTGTAGAGGTCCATTCTAGTTAAGGAGAGAGATACTCTACAAAGAACTACATACTTATAAATCGACGCTATTCATCGATTTTTCTCACCAATACGATTTTTTCAAATAGACGAGGCGAAAGCTTCTTCTTTTCAAACTATATGTTTTCTAAAATTACGTGTGTTCGATTCCCCTTAACATGAATCAAAAACTTACCTCCGTTTTGTTTTTCGATCATTCTGGAAAAGTCCTTAGTTGACCGCTTTCGAGTTATAAGCGATATAAAGTCTGAAATGCCTGCTTTAGTGCTTCTGAGAGATGCTCGCATGTCCAATTAAAAAAATTATCCACTGCATCGCCCTCTAATTACCGCTCACTTTAAGACTGCTCCAGCGTATGTAATATTACATATGCTTACTGCAATTAAATAAAAATGCTTCAAAATAAACTAAGCCCAAAATACTCTTTAGGGTCTTGCAGTGGAAGGTTAGAACTTCAAGCACTTGGCAACCTCAAAAAGTAAACTTTCTAACAGAATATTTCAGCATCAAGTTTTTCAGACCTTAAATCGTGTATAACCCGAAAATGGTAAATTTTATGAAAAAAGTTAATAAGGGCGCTTTTCGTTGAGAATGATCTAAAAACCTTGTCCGCAACGAAAAAAATTTAGTTTTTTATAATTTGTTCAAAAGTTACTTGTTTACACTTTGCCTTGGGTTACCATCCAACCATTCATGTTAAGAGGGGCATCGAATATATAAAGACAACTAGCTGAAGTTTCTCAAACGAACGAGAGGTTTTCGCATCATCTAATAGTGATTCTCTCTTTCCGTATCTAGAACGGACCATTCCCAGTACTTATTCTATTTTCAGAGAGCATCTCACATGCCAACTCGTCTTAGACAAACACCTTAGCCAGCCCGTCAGCACCAGCACTCGCGATGTACGGCCTTGACGGATGGAAGGCCACGTCCAGAATGCTCTCGTCGAACTTCTTCCGATGCGCGGTTATTTCCTGCACGCACGTTTTGTTGTCCAGGTTCCACAGTCGAATCGAGCAGTCGTGTGAACCTAGAACAAAAAAAAATCGGTTCAAAACATACGCGGAGAAATCCATACATACAGTAATGGACAAAAGTATATAGACAAATATGAATATTTACCTAAATACCTTTAGAAAACGAATTCATATTTCATTGCTCCGTAAACAAATGCGTTATTAGTAGAAAAACTAAATTCCTTGTTTTTACATTATCTGCAATGAAGAGTAAGAAGTCGCTAATCTCGAGGAAAAACCGTAAGGACCGATTACAATTTGCACGGTTGCATCTTGATTGGAGCATCTGTGATTGGAAGAGGGTGTGTTTCAGTAACGAATCCAAGTCCAATATGTTTGGACCAGATGGTGTTCATTACGTTAGACGTCCTAGTGGACAAAGATTGAACTCCAAGTACACTTTGCCCACTGTCAACATGGAGGCGGGTCTGTTATGGTTTGGGGTTGCTTTTCGCGGTTTGGGATGGGACCTTTACATAGAATAGATGGCATTATGGCTAAGTTTGTATACACAGACATACTAAAGCATGTCATGTTACCCTATATGGGAAGACAATATGCCCTTAAGATCAATCTTCCAGCAAGATAATGACCCCGAAGCACACATCAAATCTCGCAAAGAAATTCTTTCTGGATGAAAAAATACCAGTTATCAAATGGCGTTCACAGTCTCCCATTGAAAATCTATGGGAATACTTAGATAAGCAAATACGAGATAAAAATTATTCAAACAAGGGTGAACTTTTTGCCGCTTTAGAGCAAAAGTGGAGACAGATTGATGAATCTTATATCAAGAAACTTCTACAATCTATGCCGAGATGATGCCAAGCGGTGATTGATAATAATGGTTATGCTCCAAAATATTAACACAAACATGGTTGGTTTTCTATTTTTTCTATAATTGTTTTGCTTTGTCTATATATTTTTGTCCTTCATAGTTCCAGTTTTTTCAATATTTTTTTTATTGAAGGGAGTCTAATGAATTTATTTATGTATAAGTGAGTATTATGCTATAACGAATTATGTATATAGGTTAGTGTATTAATAAAACAAGTTAAAAAAGATATTTGGATTACTCTTTGGATATTTAAATAATCGATCTCAAATTGTGAGAGTTTCAAGATATTATTCTTCAAATAAATTACATATAAAAGCAGGGATACCTCAAGGAACAGTACTAGGCCCGATCCTATTTTTAGTTTAAATTAACGATCTAATAAATTTAAGCATAAGTGGTAAATTCATGGTTTTTGCTGATGATACCACAATACTTTGGCAAGAGACACCATACAGTATGGGAAAAACCATTATTATACATTATGATGCGGAAGAGAGATGGAAATATACAAAAGTATGTAGGTGCGTGAAAGACACTCGATTGTAGGATCTTATCTGGCAGCGTAGGAGTGTGACGGATAACGGGGTAAAGTAGAAGAGTGATAAAAGAGAGAGATGGCAGAACGGGCGCTGGCGCCTACCGCTTAGACGGATGCGCTCAACAAATGCGATTTGTTTCTCCCATTCGCAGAGTTGCCGATACTAATATGTCATATTTCTAAGAAGTCTACCCAAATTTCGGGAAAAATAGCTGCGGATTCCACATAAGAGTATTCCAAAAATGAAAAAAGTTCAAACTATTAAAATTGTATTAATGTTTCATGGTTCAAATCATATTTTTCATGTTTGTATATTGTTGTATAAATGATTTTGTAATCCCTATTCTTGTTGCCAGTAGAGATACAACACTATTGAGAGAAATCATGTACCGCTAGATAGGGCTACAACTACCATATGACTATCAAATAGTAGTGATAAACAGGGTTTGTTTATAGCACAGTTGCCTGGTGTGGCGAATTTGCGCCATAGGGGCGATTTGACAACTTTGAAGGACCACTATAACGGTTACTATGGTGCCCGGTATTCGGGAATCTGGCAATACCTGATGATTCCTAACGTTTATTACGCCAGATTGTTTGCTGACTTGCGCAATACAACATGACAATCAACGTGACTGAGCACCTAGTAACCCTGGTTTAAGGTGTTATATTTAAAGAGCTTGGGGCAGTTAGGTATCTAGGTCACATTTTTTAATGTATTTCGAGAAATCCGTAATGTTGAGTAAATACTAGATCACGTTTCTTGCTTAGTTTGCTGAAAATTCTACAAAAGACGTACATTTTGAGAGACAGAGATTTGGTGACGACAAAATCGTAAAAATATAACGCATTTTCGTAAAATAATTTCTTTGATGAAAAGACTGTGGCTTGATGACACATTGAACGAGTATAGTGTCCCGCTCCGCTTTGAATATTCGAAACACTATACTCCAGCAGCATTCAGCTTCAATGTTATCTTTATGAAGTTCTAACGTCTAGGCCATGCTGATTAAAAGCTTGAATGAATCATCACTTAACTCTGAATTCCCCACAATTCGGGAAGCTCTACTCAAATTGGCAACACAGCGTATCTGCCTATTATTCTCATTCGTGATACAGGTCTGCGGTTAACGGTAGGAAATATGTACGAATAGCGATGAAAGTAGACGAGCCGATGCGCTGTTGCCAAGAAATGATTTCCCATGTATAACAATGGTTTTTCCTGAGGTGTATATGTACATTGATTGACAAAAGGTAAACAGCTACGTATGTTTATTAGAATTCAAGATTTTTTTACATTTCGATTTATCTTGCCATGAACAACAAGGGATAAAATGGCCAGGTTTTTCTGTTAAGTTTTTGTGGTGGCTTCGTGTATTGTTTGGCTCAACCCGACGACAGAACTGGGTCGGGGTCAGTGTGTCAGGTCAGTATGCAACCTTCAACCGACGGTTACGGTCACGCGTCTAGAGGTAATCGCGCAGACGAGAATCCCTCAACAAGCACTAGAGACGTGGCTAGAGAAGTGCAAGTATCAAAAACTAAAGTGTGGCAAACGCTGCGTGAAGAGGGGCTGTATCCGTTTCACGTACAACGTGTACAAGCCCTTCAACCTGACGATTTTCCAGCAAGAGTGCGGATTTGTGAGTGGTTGTTGCATCAACATGACAATAATCCAGACTTTTTGAAGTGCATATTGGTGACAGACGAATCTACGTTCACGCGTAATGGGGTGAATAACTTTCGCAACACTCATGTTTGGTCAGTAGAAAATCCGCACGCCGTGCGTCGGGCACATTTTCAACAAACATTTTCGGTGAATGTTTGGGCTGGCATGGTGAACGGTATGCTCATTGGACCATTTATTCTCCCAAATCGATTGGACGGGATACAATATCTAGACTTTTTACGCAACATTTTGCCTTCCTTGTTAGAAGATGTGCCATTAAGTGTAAGACAATCAATGTGGTTTCTGCGTCTGCTCGGTAGCGCATCAGCTGATTTCATTTTCTGTTGGAGCGGTATGATTTCGGCCAGAGACGTACTTAGCCCTTCTCGTCAACTGGAGAGTGAGTACTTTTTCCTTTATTTTTTTTTTACTTGGTCGCCCTCGTTTCACTACACATTACCTTTGTTATTTCAAGGGTAGTTGTTTCTGAAAAGGAAAACCCCAACTTTGCGATAAATGACATCAGTTCAAAAATTGATTGAGATACCATCAATCGAAAAATTACTTAACTTTCAATGTTAATAGGGTGACAGCCACGACAAGGTATTCGCTTGACTGATGTCCAGATATCAAACAAAGGAAGAAAAAAGGAATGAAGGAGGAAGTAAATGCTCACCGGACAATATGTACAATCCGTTGGGATCGACAGCTAAGCAGGTGACCGCGTCTAGATGGGCGACCATCGAGTGTACCACTTTGCCCGTATTGTTGTCCCAGAATCTGATGTGACGGTCTTCGTGAGCCGTCACCGTCAACGGCAGTGTCGGATGGCAGACAATTTTGTTAATATGCCTGAAACAAAAAAAAAAAATGGAAAATTGTAAATCAATTTCAGAATAAACTTTTGTCTGATATCTTACAAGATGTCAATTCTTGAAAACAACAAATTACCAATAGATGGACGTGGTTCTGCAACTATATTCATCAACGTTTCTTTAATAGACAAGCCACTCCACGTATCGTTCTTTTAATAAATAGCTGCAGAAAATTGCGCCGAAATAGTGACGAGGGTGGGGAGCATGCAAGTAGGCCACCTTTTTGCCGACCATGACTGTGTCAATACTCTATTCCTCATGTTTCTGTCCTAATCTATTGAAACTCCTAAAGGAGGTCAGGAGTACTGGCCATTCCCCTGAGCTGCATGGCTCTAAATATCTCAGCCCTCAGACTGCCAAGGGCATTTTATATGGAATGCTGTCTAGTGCTCTTATCAGCACATGGTGCATGCGGAACTGGTTTCACCCTCAGAAGGAACAAGTAACTGTTCAATCTGAGAATCCCCACCAAAAGGTTGACCCATCTATCTTTGTTCAGTAGCCAAAGCGTCCGACGTTTGTCGGGGCCTGTTATGAAGCTTGCAGTTATCTTTCTCTCGCCACACTTTTCCCAGGTTCCCATACGCCCATTCGTTCAGTAAGACGTTGACCTGGCGCCTGTTTGTACCCAGCCTAGCATCAGAACCGATGCAGGAGAAACATTCAATAACATGGAAAACCTCGGAATATTACTTCCGTGCCTTCACAAACATATTTGATATAAGCCTCAACAGTTGCCAGAAATAGTCTTTATACAGGGTTTTTCAGTTTATTGTTGCATAACTTTAAGAATTAATGCATAAAGTCTATATAAACATGGGTCGAAAAATGCGTGGCTTCCGAAATACATGGTGTTTAAATTAATTTTCTAAAATAGTTTTTTTTAAATATTTCGAACAATATTTCATGTATAACAGTGAAAATTGGTATACAACGGTTTTTTGGTACGACAAAACGAAACATGGGCATAGTTTTACTGTAGCCGCTAGAGGGCGCTCTCTACTGTACCTGTAGTGTATTAAAATGACCGAACATTTTTTCTTAGTGCAATTTTTTGCTTTTTGAATAAAAAAACTGATTCTTCGCACTTTTCTGCATAAAAAAGCTCTCCTGTGAGTTTTCGTTATAGTTAGCCGTTTTTGAGATATTTCGATTTTTAAGGTTCAATGCATTTTCAATTATTTATGGAAAAATAATATTTTTTTTTTACATTTTCGATTTGGGCATTACATGTAATTAAGATGATCGTTTAGATTGTGTTTTTAAACACAGCGATAATTCCTGACTCCAAATAAACACAAAAAAACAGAATATTAATTTGTTTAATTTTCCAATATTATTTTTAACAAATTAAATTAATTATTTACAACTAAAATGCTATTGGATAGTTAAGACAAACATACAAAATCTAAAGTAGTTGCTCGAAATGTAAACCCAATTGTTCAATACACAATTCACATCTACGAATGATCGAACGTGGTATAGCATTATTCAAATAAGGCCTTATTTCATCACATGCATTCCTGATTCTGTCTATTAGCATATCTCTTGTGGTTACGGGAGTCTGGTACACTTTTTCTTTTAGAAATCCCCACACAAAGAAATCTAATGGATTTAGGTCAGGGGATCGTGGAGGCCAGGCGACTGGTCCTCCACGGCCTATCCATCTTTATGGATAATTTTCGTCCAGCCAGTTTCTAACTATTCTCCAATAATGAGCTGGACAACCATCAAGCTGGAACCAGTCCAATCTTCTTAAATCTAACATAACATCATCCCACATATTTGCATGTTTAGCCTTTAAAAATTCCAAGAAGGTCGCGGCATTTAACCTTGCAGGCAAAAGGTAGGGTCCAAATAGTCGATTACGGTAGATACCAATCCACACGTTCACATTAAATTCATGCTGAAAATTTCTTTCCCGAACTGCATACGGATTTTCATGCGACCAAATATGTTGATTATGAAAATTTACCACTCCACGTCTAGTGAAGCATGACTCATCGGTCCATAAAACGTTACTTAAAAACTCCCTATTATTATCAGTTCTATCAAGAATCCACTGACAAAATGTGATTCTTCGTTCTCCGTCCCCTGGCTGTAGTCCTTGCACAGGTTGCAAATGGTAAGGACGTCTATGGTCATTTCTAAGAACACGGTGAACATGGCTTGCTGAAATTCCCAAGGCACCAGAAACTCTCCTAACACTTGTGGTCGGATCTCTATCAAACTCACGCAGAATCATACGGGTAAATCTGCGCTGACGAACATTTATTATGTTTTGATCCCTTTGGAGATTTCCAAAACCATTTTCAATTATTTGGCGATGCACTCTTACAAATACTGAGCGAGTTGGATGTTGTCTGTTTGGAAATCTTCGTGCGTATTCTCTGGCTGCTTCTGCTGCGTTTCCATTTACAAAGCCATACACAAAATGAATATCCGCTATCTCTTGATTGGAGAATAAAAATGGCATTTTTATAAAACTTACAAAAAAAAAACAGGTAAAAGAAACTAAATTTCGTGCATTCACAATTGCAAAAAAACGTTTCAGGTTTCAACAGACAACAAAACTAACTGTCAACTAATTGACGTTTAACCTTATTCTGCTTTCAATTTCAAAAATATTTGCAGGCAGAGCCTACTTCTAAAAATTATCGAGATACTGACTTTTTAACGTTATTTTATCATAAATAATTAAAAATGCATCGAACCTTAAAAATCGAAATATCTCAAAAACGGATAACTATAACGAACATTCACAAGAGAGATTTTTTATGTTGAAAAGTGCGAAGAATCAGTTTTTTATTCAAAAAAATTGTACTAAGAAAAATTTTTCGGTCATTTTAATACACTACAGGTACAGTAGAGAGCGCCCTCTAGCGGCTACAATAAAACTATGCCCATGGTTCGTTTTGTCGTACCAAAAAACCCTTGCATACGAATTTTCACTGTTATACATCAAATGTTGTTCGCAATATTTCAAAAAAAAAAACTATTTTAGAAAGTAAATTTAAACACCCTGTATTTCGGAAGCCACGCATTTTTCTACCCATGTTTATATAGACTATGCATTAATTTTAAAAGTTCTATCGAATCGTAAAGTTATGCAACAATAAACTGAAACACCCTGTAAACAATAGAACTACGTTGTTCTCTCACATTTTCAGGAATTTCCCTCCAGTGTATGTAAAATATGAGTACAGATTCTGATTTCATTTTATTCAAAAATCAAATTTATTAAATAGGAATAATCAATACCTGGCAGCTGCATTAACATTCGGGTCCAGCTGAGGGTCGAGCCTTACAACAGGCTTGCCCGTTTCCAGGTCGAAAATCACACAATGGGCGCTAGTGTAGGATGCTACGATATGGTTTGGTTCATCGTACACGAAGTCTATGCTTGTGGGAATGCCGTCCTGCTCTGACACGTACGTGTTTAGCTGCAGTTGGTTCTGGAAAAGATATACATTACAATCATCCTTAATATAAAAATTACAATTATTGACTTTGAAATGTTACGAGAGTCACTCTTACAAGCCAATATCACTGGAATTTTTAGAGATGCTGACACTTACTTCTCAAAAATCATGGATTATATCGAGAACTGCGTTTTATAGAAAAAATGAACAAAGTATAACCTTATTTGCACATGCAGCTAAAAACCACAGATGAAAAGATTCGTCTTTAAAATTTAAGAAAAAATTGAATATCTCAAAAACGGTGACACTTTTATATAGGTAAGTTTTTGTTATTTGTCAGTCCAAAGCCTACCTTCTCCTTAAGTTTGTCGTGGTACTTATTGGACACCCTGTATACAAACATGTGGCCAACTAATGTACTGCCAGATGTAGAAGCTCTTAGAAGGAATCATATATGAACAAATCATTGAAGATATTGACAAAATTTCAATTCAATTTTAAAAAGTCAATAAGTTCTATGATTGCAAGAGAAACTAGCCAAAAACGAAAACAATGGAAAAAGAATAGTAAAGATTATGGGGAAAAGCGAGTTACATTACAAACAAATTTACAGAGAACAGTTAAAGAAACACCCCCACCACGTCCTGCACCATCTTTACAGCACAGAGCTGATAATTTTTCTGCTCACAATAGACGTAGAATGCGCAAGCGGCGAAGTATTCTGTACGCGAAGATTAAAAGTTTGGAAAATAAAGTAAGGAACGCAGTCAAGCTTAGCGAAAAATATAAGAAAATACTGACCCAAACTCTCCAGCAACTAAAGTGACTTCGCTTTTAAAGAATATACAAGTTCCTGTCGTTGAAAGAAAAAGACTCATTTTCGGAGAAGCACTGTCAACGGACCTCAAGAATATCTATGAAGATCTTGGAAGTAAATATGGAGAAAAGAAAAAATATTACAAAATCTTGAAGCTGCAATTAGTACAAAAGATACAAATTACGATATAGATCGAAATATTTTTCAAAAACGATACGTACAAAAAGAACTGTACTCGTAAAGTTAGCTCCAAAATGCTGAAAGTTAAGGGTGATGTTCATTTCTTAGAGAAGCATCAAAATACAAGGATGTGCCCAGCGAAGAAGGACTATCTAAGCTCTCTAAAGTATAAAACAAATCTCCATACATCTATTAATAAATTAACTTATGTTTTTTATTGAAATTCAGCATCAAATTGTTGTAAAAATCATCCCCCCATCCTATCAGTCATTCCCTCATTTGACAGTTTTTTAAAAGTCATTTTTCTACATGTTATACACAAAAATATGGAGGACCTTCATTTTCAATGAACCCCACTAAAGTAAAACTTTATATTTCTGCAGAAAAAAGGATATATCTTCATTATTTTTTTTTATGAAATGCCAAATGAAATTTCTAAGTTTGTTGAGAAATACCCACATAATGTGTTCTGTGTAACATTGATATTGTAGCATGAATGCTAAATAAATCTACAACAAACAGTGGTACTCACCTTAGCGTGCGGCGACCACAACTTGACAGTACCATCCGCTGAGCAGCTGACCAACCTGGCTTGACCGTCGCCGCCGGCGTTAGCGGCGGCACCACCTCGCACCGCCAGCCCCCAGATGGCGTCCGTGTGTCCGTGCAACGTACCGGCCAGTACGTCCGGTTCGTACAGGTCGTACGGATCCGTGTTGGCGCCCGGTACGTTCCAGCAGCAGATCGTACCGTCCAGACCGGCCGAATAGCACTGCTCGCCGGTACCGGATACGGCCAGGCAGAACACTGGACCTGGAATCAATAATGCAAAATTATACGGTGGCTCATTTGAAATCTGGATCGGCTTTACAATGAAAGTACATATTCTAGTTTTACTGGAAAGACTGAATCTTGACACTTGACAGTACCTTAGGCAGTCCAAAAATCGTATTAACAAAATTTCTTTGGGATCATCATAGCAGCCGCGGTCCAAGTACTACACCTATTTCGATTATTTGGACTTGAATTTCATTTACCCTTAACGACTTCCCACAAAAAATAGTTGAAGTTTGTATAAAAGAAGCTACAGTCAAGACAACAATTTATAAAAGGAAAAATCCAACCCTTGGATCTTGCAGACGTTCAAGGATTCTAAATTAAAAAGAGACTGCAATTATAAAAAGTGTATGATCACTGGAAGTGAAAATGATTGGCTAGAATACACAAGGTCAAGAAACCAATCTGTAGCGGTTCTACGAGATGAAAAGAAAAAATATTACAATGCCAAAATTGAACAGAGTAAAAATAATAGCAAACATATGTGGAAAACGTTAAATTTTTTTTTTTGAATATCTGTATGCTATGTAATTGTGTAGTTTTTAGAAGAATGTAATTGTAGCAATCATGCTAAATAAATCTTAAACAAACAGGTTCTATCTCCATTTTTCCCTATTTGTTAAAAGACAAAATTCTATTTGTCAAACGTTTTAGGGTGGATTTCACAATTTAACCATTATTCTGCACCAATAGGGTACGAGTACCAAACAGTCCGTTAAATATACCCAATCAGCCTCAAGATCTCTCCGTCAAATTTTTGGCAGCAAATAGCATCAAAGTATTCAAAACAAAACACTGTAAAATATGAAGTGACAGCTTGCCATTGAAATCTTTTCAGTTTATTAAATATTACGAAATTATGTAAAACTGAGCCAAAATTTTAAAAATGTTTGATGTCTGAGTAAAATCTATTTTTTCAGATTAGCTGAAGGTTTTCCCATGTTTACTGCAACTTTTGTAATCTATATGTGATTGTATCACCTACTGTGCGCTTATAGTTTATCCTATATTTGCAAACTTGCACTTCTAAACCCTTACATGAAAAAGCCTATTCACTCAAATTTTTGTTAGGTGTTGCATTTCATCACATTCATACACTTCTTTCCAGTTCCTCAACGATATTTTAACCCCACTGGTCCGAAACTGTTCAACAGTTTCAACATTCATACATATAATTGCAGTTGCAGTTTTTTGTTTTAATTTCAGTGTATAATCAGTCGCACCATCGGTGATGGTACATTCAACATAACCACGTATTTAGGGGTTCGTGCAGATTTAACGTGTACACGACGTCATCATTAGGCGCTCCTCTGGCGATGTCCGATTGCGTTCAGGTGCCTTCTGTGCAGGTACCTCTTCATCGCGGTCAGGAGTTGATACCAGCGCGGCTCTCGTGTTTTTTGCTCTAGGCATGGCCATCCTCAATTAATCGCACAAAAAACAAGTCCAAGGCAGAAAAACACACCCGAAGACGAACACCAAAACAAATCTCTACCGCAAATTCGTCACCAACTCAAACAAAAACAACAGATGATTCACCGCCTGGCTTTGACCGTAAATCGTCGTGGAACACGAGACACCACAGAATTATTATAATTACGTCAATGCGAGCATAGAACAGTATAGAAAGGGCTATCCAAGGGTAAGACGAGTTCCGAAACCACCCGCATCATGTCAAAAAATGGCCGTGACGTCACCAAAACGCTTGACCACCACTGGAAATCACTAGCTAGTTACCATCTGGCGGCGTAACATGTGGAGGACACTGGTGTAGAAACAGCTAGATCCTTAAATTCGGTTACGTTAAGTCGTGCATGAACCCGACATTATTTTCCAGTAATTACTAATAATTTTAGATCTATGTCTACAGTAATTGCATTATGCACCTCGGAGATGTAGGGATTAACATGTTTTACACATATCGGTGTTTTAGGATGGGGACGACATGCTGTTTTGATTGTTTTGAAGAAATTCATTAACCCATGAATTTATAACAAATGATTACTATTATGATGTAAAGAGAGATGAGGAATTGGTTGGAATACATTTTATATTCTATTTTCTTGCAAATCCGCACAATTCAAAAGGTATGTGTAGCTATAATGATCACATATACACACAGTATATTGAACTTAACAAATTTCGAGATTGCTATGAATTAACAAACGACCAAACCTGCTGCCAAATTTAACAGCTAGAAAATCGACCTATTATTTCTCCCATTCCCATTCGCTGAGGGGATAACGGATGGTCAAATGTACAGCTATAACATAAATCAAAATACATGAAAGTTGTCCTGTTTTCTCTGTACAAAAGCATCATGTTGGAATCAAAAAGTGGTCTTGTTTATAATACAGTCTAATTTTCACGATTTTATTCAGCATTTTAATAGAAATCACTGATATTCTGAGACCTTTGTCAGCTTCCGTCAAATTGCATTTCGATAAGGTATTTTCCTATTGGTCCATAATAATAATGTTGGTGAAATCGGCACTTAATCTATTTAATGTAATTATTCTTGTTGTTTGTTGTCCAATATTTGCTCATTGTTTCTGTAAAAATTTATTAAAGATCAATCTGTCAAATCGCAGGAAGCCAAATGACATCAGAATTACTGTTGATCTTTTGCTGTTCAGAAAGTTATTGATACAGTCGGCCATGAAACAGCAAATATAAATTTCTTCAAATCGACTACAACTCTTACTAACCTGTATGACTCCTAAAAGTATAGAGAGGTTCAACGTCCAGCGAGGCGCTCTTCTTTGCCGGCACTGTCTTCTGCAGGTTCCACAGCTTCAACGTATGGTCTTCACTGGCAGTTATCAATACAGGTTCAGTAGGATGGAACGCCAACGCATGGACAGCGTCGAAATGGCTGCGTAGCGTGTATTTTGCATTCCAGGTTTTTCTATTGGATACAAAAAAGAAAATATTGAAAAATTACGCGTTTATGTCCGATTTTACTAATTCCGGGCCCTATTCTAATGCGAAATTAATATCACTGGTCGAATTTAAGCCATAGGCGCAAATTTCCGGTGGGTCAATAGAAACATTGAACCTACAGTAGCGGAAAAAGTTTGGAAACATTCTTAGTAATTTTTAAAAAGTGCGCTAATTTTGTATTCTTTATTATTAAGGACTATTTTTTTCTCATATAGTTTGCTTACAGTCTTGATGATACAAATGACAATTCGTGTGTGCTGTGGTACTACAGACTATCATTAAAATACCTTCATATTATCTTATGACCAAAAACACTGATCAACAGTCAAAAAATATCCTAAATAAAATCAACAAAATATTACTATTTTTAATGTGCTAAAACCGGAATGAAACTTATTTTTTCAATATTAGTTCAAGTTTTAGAGATACGGTAATTATATGTGTTCCTGCTGTCACAGTGTTAATATACTGTAATTCACAAGAATGCACGTGCTACATTTTTATATTCGGCAAGGAAAGATGATGTAATCGGCATGATTGTGTTACGTTATACATACGTGTACATTATATTGTTTTATATTAGCCATTTTTTCCTCAGTTGGCTGACAGCGTTCATGCAAGATGTCTCGAAACTGTGTAAACAATCCAGATCAGTTTTGTTACGTGTGTGGTGATATGACTTTTGCGTCTCAGAGACAGTCTATTACTCCACTAATAACAAAGGCATATCAGCTTTATTTCGGTTGTAAACTAGGTGATCAAGACAAACAGTGGGCACCCCACATCTGATGTAATACATGTGCTTCAAGTCTGAGGAGCTGGTTAAATGGCAAAAAACGGTCTATGCGCTTTGCTGTCCCAATGGTTTGGAGAGAGCCTACAAATCATATTAATGATTGTTACTTTTGCATGGTACCTTGTGTTGGACAAGCCACAGGTATGTCCAAGAAAAAAAAAATCGGTTATTAACTACCCAAACATACCATCTGCGATGAGACCTGTGACGAAAATCCTATTCCAAAATCCCCAGAATCCTACACTTGCGAATCAGAAAACGAATCAGATCATGGCGATCGAGTGATTCGTCAGGAAGAAGATATGCCATCAACGTCAAGATCCTGATTTTATACCGAGCACGTCATGCCACCAACCGCACAAAATAACACAGTCAGAATTAAATGATCTTGTAAGAGATTTAGAACTTCCAAAATGTAAGGCAGAGTTACTTGGATCAAGACTGCAGCAGTGGAACTTGTTAGAAGACGATGTTTCGGTATGTGTTTTTCGTAAACGCCACAAAGACTTAGAACCATTTTTCAATATGGAGAATAACTTGGTTTTCTGCAGTAACATTAACGGCTTACTGGCGGCTTTAAATATAAACTATAACCCAGAAGAATGGAGATTGTTTATATACAGTTCAACATTGAGTTTAAAGGCAGTGTTATTGCATATTGGAAATATTTCACCATCTCTTCCTGTAGAGTATGCAGTTCACATGAAAGAATCATATGACAATATGAAGTACCTATTGACATGCATAAAATACGATGAGCACCAATGGCATATTTGTGGCGATTTGAAAGTTGTTGCACTTTTACTTGGGCTGCATCTAGGCTACACAAAGTTTTGCTGTTTTTGTGTGAATGGGACAGTCGGGCAAAGGCACTTCATTACACCAGACAAAACTGGCCTGTTCGTCAATTCCTAGAGCCAGGTCAAACAAATGTACAGCATATGCCATTAGTAGATTCGAAAAAAATTTTATTACCACCACTGCATATCATGTTGGGCCTAATGAAAAACTTTGTCAAGGCATTAGATAGAGATGGGTCAGCTTTTCAATACCTGCGTCAGAAATTTCCAAGACTAAGTGAGGCAAAGGTTAAAGAAGGTATTTTTGTTGGGCCACAGATTCGAAATATTTTGAAAGATACACAGTTTGAAAACACTTTAACAGGTATTGAAAAAACTGCTTGGAATGATTTCCGTCTGGTGGTCACTAATTTCTTGGGAAATAGAAAAGCTGACAACCATAAAACCCTTGTCAAAAATATGCTGTCATCGTATCAAAAGATGGGCTGTAATATGTCTCTTAAGATACATTTCCTACACTCACACCTGGACTTTTTTCCTGACAATTGCGGAGCCGTAAGTGATGAGCACGGCGAACGTTTTCATCAGGATATTTCAACAATGGAAAAAAGGTACCAGGGAAAGTGGAATCCTTCCATGCTTGCAGACTACTGTTGTACTCTTGGTAGAAATGCTCCAGAAACGATCCATAAAAGAACAGCAAAAAGACAGCGCATATAGTGATTCTTATAAGTATATGAATCTTGTTACTTTTTTAATATATCCTTAAAAATAAAAAGTTTTTTTTCTAAACCGCAACTAATTTTTTTATTTCATTGACATTTTTGGATTCAGCGCCCCAAAATTAACAAAGAAGTGCACTTTTCACACAAGATACAATTAAAAACTCTAATTTGTTGTCCAGTGAAATGAGACGAAAAAGTATGGAAACTTATTTTTTATTACAACCTTAAAGACAATAACTACTAACTACAACACGTGCCGGCCGACTGGATAATGTGGAGGTTATCAGTGGAAAAAAAGATGAAATCTCGGGGGACGTTTCAAAATCTCCGAATTTCTCCAACGCCTAATTTTAAATAAAACCTTTCAAAATGATTTGCCATTTAACAATAAAATAATTCCGTCCTAATCGAACCGCATCGGTCCAATATTTTATTCGTCGACTATGTGTTCCCTTCACTGTTGTTTAAAAAACAATTTCAGCAACAATCTCGCCTACTTACTCCAGACGCGGAAGAAAAAATTCAATAAAGACATTGAAACTGGAATAGAGCTGTTAAATAATGATATGAAAAACGTAATAAATTGGTTAAATGTGAATAAACTTAAACTAAACACAAACAAAACAAAATATATGCTAAAATAAGGTAAATCTTACAATTAATCATGAAAAAATTGTGTCAATCGAATCATTTAAATATTTGGGCATATACGTAGGCAGTAATCAAAATTTGAAGGGCACTACTTCACAAGGGATTGTACGAATTTAATAAATTAAGTAATGATATCGAGATGTGTGTCAGTTTGAAAATGTTCAAAGGGAAATTGAAAGAATATCTCATGGACAACCAGTGAAATTTTGTATAAAATATGTAGTCTTGAAGACATAATATATTTTGTGATATACTGTGTAATACGGATATTGTGGACATTGTAGCATTAATGCTAAATAAATCTGAAACAAACAAACAAAGAATCATGAAATATTGATGGGTTGGCTATGAGCTAGACAATACATTTTATGTTTGTGTGTTTACCTGCAAGTTTCCTTGCTACTGGCTACTTCGTAAGTATTTTCAGCATCGTTATTCACAGTCAATTGCGCCAATTCACCCAGGCCGAGTGACGAATCCACATTATCATCCTCACCTAGGCCCAACGGCCGCTTTGGTATCGCTGAAAATTAAAAATATTCCTTTTCAAATGATCCGACACGCAAAAGACATGATTCCCGTAATCAATGTTAGCACTGAAAGGATTCTGCTTTTTGATTAACATGTTTTGACTATACATGACATGAATTATCAATGTAAGAAGAGGAGAAAGCTTTCTAATTTTTCACAACTACCAAAAAAATTGGAAAAAGCGGGAAAAACGTGAAATGAAAAAAAGTGTTGATTACCTTTGTTCCAATCAGTTTGTTCTGTTTTGATATCCTGTTTCTTTTCAGCCTCTGACAACCTGTTCAATTCGTTGAACACTTCCAGTGCAATCGCGTCCACATCGTCACCTAAAGCTGAAGGTTCATAAATTCATGTACAAAAATGAAAAGCAACGCAAATAACATGTACATAAAAGTTTTTAAAATAAGAATGATATATACACATTAATCATATAATAAATTGATATTCTACATTTTCCCAGCGTGTGACATTATTGCATATAACTTAAACAAAAACATATATTACCTTTCTTCCCAAGTTTGACGTCATCTTCCATGTCATCAGACTGTTCAATGTCGACTTCATCGCTCATGTCGTCATCATCCTCCATGTCGACGTCAGTATTGGAAAGGAAATCCAGATTTGCCATCACCGCTGCTTCAGTATCTAATATCATCGCTTCCGCTAGGGAGCTCGGTTGGACTTTCTTTGCCGGAGTCCTGCGCCCTAGAATAAAAAAATACCATTGGTTATCGACAGAAATCAATTTTAGTGTATCGAGAATATGAAACAATCCTGATGAAGATACTTTTACCATTCATATTCTCAAGATGTATTTGAACGTAGACAAATAGAAGAATCTAACATGGGACCAGGAGAAGTATACCATGAAAACCAGTGGCGTGCATAGACAAGGTTTAACAAATGGTAAGCTTCGCCGCTACTGATTGAGGATAAGACACACATGTTCAATTAGTGTTTTAATGATGCGCCATAGCTTTCTTCACAATATCAAGCTTCACAGTGTTTTCAGAATATTAGATGCTAAACCTTTTCATAAGAATATTTTACGATTTTACCTAAAATATTCAAACCTAAATATCTCCAAAACGAGTGATCTGACAAAATTTACTTAAGAGACAAAATTTATGGAAGATTGAATGGTATTTTATAAAATGCACTTTTCTCAGAAAAGACCTGTGGCGTGAAAAATATTTCTAGGGGTTCAGGTACCCCAGTTTCTACGTCCTGCTTTGGTTTGGTCCCGAAAACTATGTGTGTTTATTGCTTATGATGTGCTCACGTAACGTCTAAAATCTTAACTCAGCATCTTTACCTGCTCTGTAGATATATTTTTTTTTAAATTTAGTAAATAAAACTTTATCACCGTGTGCCTCGGTAATAATAATAATAATTTATATATAATTACACATTGTGAACAAATGCATATGCCAGGAGGAGATGTATGGACAATCGGAAACATACAGTAGGTAACAGTGTTTTTGGACTTCAAAATGGCATTTGAGACTATTGAGAGGGATAAATTATTTACAAAATTGTATCACTACGGATTTAAAGGGTCTGTATTCAAAATTCCACAAAAATATTTAATTGACAGAAGTCAAAAAACCAAAAATGGATCTACATTATCAAGATCAAAAAATATTTCTGTTGGTATACCACAAGGTAGTAAGCTAGGTCCACTACTATTTATTTTATACATTAATGACATTTGTAATATTTTAGATTATTGTAAACTTCAGATATTTGCAGATGATACATTAATATACATACCAGATGGAAATATAGACACTGCTTTAAAAATGCTATATTCTGACTTGGCAAAAATCGTAAATTGGTTAAATGTAAATAAACTAAAATTGAATACTTCTAAAACAAAATGTATGCTAATAGGGAAATACCTAAATGAAAATACTATCACAGTTACGATAAGTAGAGAAATAATTGAAAATGATGAATCAATTAAATATTTACTTAAACTTTTGCGTCCTTGGCATAGTAGTATCATTATGTGAAAATTTCAAAGAAATCCGAGCAGTGCTTCGAAAGTTATAGACAGTTATAAAATCAGCGGACAGACCTGCAAACAGATGGACTGACGGACATGATTTTTCCTGTTGTGCATGTCATATAACATCCGTAAAAACATGGTGTCTCATTTTCTAAAATTTTTGCGATTTCAATACCCCTGCGCCAGTAGGAGTGGGAGGTAAAAATCGGTCTAACTTTTGAACAACTTGACCGAATTTCTTTAAAAGACCGATTTAGTGATCCAAAAATGAAACCCTCCCATTTTTGAGAGATGAGTCAAATTTTTGACACTTCTGTCATTAAATTCGGATTTTACTGTTATCTTTTAGAAGTGCGAGTGTTTGCAGATAATTGTGGTGTTAGACGATTGCAAGACATGGTACTTTTTACATATTTAGCAAAGAGCGACACAAGCGTAATTAAGGAAGATATTTTCACTGGTAAGTATTATTGTATTGATACAATGCTGTTACTTTGGGATAAATTATTTACAAAATTGTATCACTACGGATTTAAAGGGTCTGTATTCAAAATTCCACAAAAATATTTAATTGACAGAAGTCAAAAAACCAAAAATGGATCTACATTATCAAGATCAAAAAATATTTCTGTTGGTATACCACAAGGTAGTAAGCTAGGTCCACTACTATTTATTTTATACATTAATGACATTTGTAATATTTTAGATTATTGTAAACTTCAGATATTTGCAGATGATACATTAATATACATACCAGATGGAAATATAGACACTGCTTTAAAAATGCTATATTCTGACTTGGCAAAAATCGTAAATTGGTTAAATGTAAATAAACTAAAATTGAATACTTCTAAAACAAAATGTATGCTAATAGGGAAATACCTAAATGAAAATACTATCACAGTTACGATAAGTAGAGAAATAATTGAAAATGATGAATCAATTAAATATTTAGGTATATATATTGATAGTAAACTAAAGTTTGAGGATCACTATGAAACATATTTCAAAAATTGCCAAAAAAACAAATTACTTTTATAGGGCTTCTCATAGTCTTGGTACCTATTCCAAGAAAATAGTTTATAATTCAATTATTCTACCGCATTTACTATATTGTTCAACTAACTTGTTCACTGCCAATGAAGCTGTATTCTCAAAATTACAAGTCTTGCAAAATAAAGCTATGAGAATAATATTGAATAAAAATAATAAGAACACCCAAATAAAATCTGTTACAAGAATTGCAGTGGTTGAATAAAAAAATTTCATATATTGGGTTATTTTTATATTTAAAATAAAAAATCATCTTTTGCCAGAACATTTAGAACACTACATAGAGTTGAATACTCATTACCACAATTATTATACAAGAGAAAATATAGATTTTCATTTACAAAATTGTAATAGTAATATAACTAGCAAATCAATATTTCAGAAAGGATTACTTGAAGTTAATAAAATAAATAATGATATAAACTCTACTTGTAATTTAAAGATATTTAAAAGAAAATTAAAGGAATATTTCATTGACAATGAAAATTCTTAGAGGCGCAAATTTTGTTTTTTTCCTAAATGTCTGTATGTTCTGTAATTGTTTAGTTTTTTAGAATGTAATTGTAGCAATCATGCTAAATAAATCTTAAAACAAACAAACAAAAGGAAAATATCCTTGCATGTGGATATCATGCTAACATAACATACATAATATAATTAAAAAAATCTATATAATATAGGTGTAATATATACATTAATTTTGAATTGTAGACTAACAATGAAGAAGAAAAGATATGTGTTAGTTTTTTATAAATCACAATGTTTATATCAGTTTTCAAAAGCCACTCGTATACATCTATTTTTAATAATGATATTCGGTTTTTCCTTATATATTTTGGTAAGGTATGATATAATTTAGTATTTAGTAATAAATATATAGAAAATTTCAACATCATTTCTTTTTATGGTGTTGCAATAATTATTTGTTTATTTTTATTTCAAGTATCATATTCATAATTTTTATAAATGGTGGAATGTTTGTTTTTATGGAATTCTAGAATAACATATCAAAATTATTTTTTTATATCTAAAAGTTTTGATTCTATAAACAGTTATTTCGAGGGATATAGTAAAGGTTTATTATGAATAGTTTTTGTATTACTTGTAAAGAATTTAGATGGTTATTATTCGTGGATCCCCAGATAATAATTCCATAAGTTATGTGACATTCAACCAATGCTTGATATAAGGTAGGGGAGTATCTTTGGACCCAGATTGATAGGAACCTTTTTTGTAATTTTTGGGTGTACTAGGAATATTAGCATGTCTTTCTGAAACACCCAATATAAACATCAGCTTGAGTCACGAATTATTATTATTATAGGCAAAATGATCAAAGCTAAGTAATTAGTTACCTGTAAATCACACATTTTCCTCCAAGTACTCTTATTTAATTTAGCTTTCAAGCTCTGAGTGAGCAAATTTACATGCAACATTAAAATGACCTTATCTACCCGATTCATTGATAATTATGATAACGCATTGCAGTTTACTCAAATAATTAAATGATATAATGGAACCATTCACAATGCAATAACTGTCCCATGATCAATTCAACTGCTTCAAAATTCCGACATTACGGATACATATAGTAGATAACGAATTTTTATTATATCACACCGTCTGTTCAACTGCAACACAAGAGGATTTCTAATTTACATTCCTAAGCGCGTTCTTATGATTAGAATAAGTAATTGCATGTTACTCGGAATATCCTGCGCCAAATATGATTAGCGGAATATTTGTATTCAAATGTGAACTCGGATGATTTGCGTTCAGTGTGCATTTTGAATATTTTTCGCTAACATACTGTTGCCAAGGCATGAGGTTATTAAATCTGCATGTCCTTCTAGCTGCCAAATGAAGCCACATATTTTTGGATTGTCTAATAACATTTTGTGCACCTCGGTGACCTCTTTTGAAGTACAAATCAAAATTGTAATAATAATATATTTTATATTTATCTGTCTTTCAGGTCACAGTGTTGGTTGTTCTTATAGATTATTGTTTAAAAAAATAAAAAGAAACAACACTATTTAATAGCAAATTGAACTAAAAAGTAGAAAATATTATAGAAATAATTTTCACTTATAGGAGAGTTTCTGTATGTGTTACTGCAATAAAAAGTCCACCAATGACTTATGAATAATTAATTTGGAATGAGATCAATATATAAATTAAGATATTAACAAAAAAATCAATTAGAGTAAAAAAGCGTGGGGTGCTTGATATTGAATGTTATTTTTTTAGTTGCTATTTACAAAATTGGAGTAATGAAAATATAGTTAATTGCACACGCGCTTTCTTAATATATACTAAGTGACATATAAATCCGATCACCCAGTTTAAATGGTTTTATTTTAATAAAAGTTGGTGAATGTATTCATCTTACTGTAAATAACAAGTGAAAAAATTTTCAGCCTTATCAGTTGGACATTCCGGTTTTTATACTGTTTTTTTTAATTCACTAACGCTCTAAAAATGAATATTTCAGCCGCAGTAAAGAATCAACGTTGGCGGATTTTGGTTCTTGACATCCTTTACGATCGGTTACGATGCCTAGAGTACGGAGACTTGTACGATTTCGTCAACTTAGTGAGTTCGATAGGGGCCGTATAGTGGGACTTCGGGAAGCTGGACTTTCTTTTCGGGCAATTGCAGTTAGAGTGCAAAGAAGTGTAGACACTGTGGTTAGGTGTTGTCAGGCATGGCTTCGAGAAGGCCGTACGCAAAGAGCAAGGGGCACTGGACGCCGCCGTAGAACAACAGACCGTGAAGATCGCCGCCTAAGATTATTGGCCTTAAGGGACCGTTTCTCTACTACCAGGTCCATTGCAAATGAATGGTTTGCAGAACACGGAAGACCTATTGGCATGCGAAGTGTTTACCGACGAATGAGAAGTTTTGGCTTGTTTTCATACCGGCCACACTGGGTCCTCCCTTTAACTCGAGAACACCGACGTAATCGCCTTGAGTGGTGCAGACAACGGTCACTCTGGGGTCAGGAATGGAACAGTATTGTCTTTAGTGACGAGTCTCGATTTTGTTTAGGCATGCACGATGGTCGTGCCAGGGTTCGAAGGCGACGTGGTGAAAGGAGGAATCCACAGTTTTTTGTTGAAAGACATGTTCATCACACTGTTGGAGCTATGGTTTGGGGTGCTATAGCTTATGGTTCCAGGTCACCTTTAATCTTCATCAGAGGTAACATGAACGCGCAGCGTTATATCCACGAAGTTCTAGAACCCCATCTTTTACCCTATCTTGACACCCTGGCAGATCCAACTTTCCAACAAGATAATGCCCGACCACATGTTGCAAGAGTCACAATAGACTTCTTTCAACATAATGATGCCACATTGTTACCATGGCCACCAAGATCTCCCGACTTATCCCCAATTGAGCACGTGTGGGATATGATGGGTAGGAGATTGCTCAATTTGCAACGTCCTCCTCAGACTCTAGAAGCACTTCGAGAGGAGTTGGTGGTTGCCTGGAATGAGATACCACAGGAGAACATTGACCACCTGATCAGAAGCATGCTTAGGCGCGTTGGAGAATGCGTAGCACATCAAGGTGCATCCACACATTATTAAAGGTCAAAGGGTTTTAAAGCAGTGCAATCATTTTGAAATTTTTATCATTTACTTATTATGCTTCATTAAGTACTTATAAAAAATTTTATTACAATAAAACCATTTAAACCGGGTGTTCAGATTTACATGTCACTTAGTATACTTGAGTTTTTTTTTGTAAATATCTCAATCTTTATATTGATCATCCTAAATTAATTCATCATACTTGATTGTTGGACTTTCTACCGCAGTAACAAAAACTCTGCTATACTTGAAAATGATGATTTACCTTTTAGTTCGATTCATTATGTAATTTATTTTCTGAATTTTTGATCTCAAAACAGCAACAAAAGTACTTATAATTTAAAGCTTTTTGGTATATTTTATATTTGACAATAAATCTAAATTTACTTCCACTATTTCTTTAAATTTCGAAATTTCCAGAATCTATTCAAAATCACCAATTTTTGTCAAAATCTCCAACCCATCAAATTATTTTTCAATTTTCCGAATTTTCCTGATTTTGCAATCTAATTTTTTCCAAATTTTAATATTCGAATTTTTAAAAACATCCAAATTCGATTTTTTGCATTGTGATCGGTCCTTGAGTTAATCAGACTTCTTGAAATAGGTTAAAATTAGGTTGAAAGGTTCTGTTACATACGTAAATGTCAAGCTAATAAAAGCATGTTGAAACAGTTGGTATTAATTTTTATTTGCATAACTCACCAGTGTTTTACCGCACCTCATTTTCAAGATTGACTCCAAGATCCAAACTAATTACAAAAATACCCCAGCCATGGTACTGGGATCTTACGTTCAGCTGGCCCCTTCATTAGACTATTTTCTGCTGAGGGCGGTACCACCTGTACCACAACGCGTTTTCAAGATCGATTCCAAATTCTAAAAACTATTAATCACAAAAACGCCCCAGCCATGGTACCACCCTTGCATTTCGCTGTCCGGATGGTTTGACTTGTTCCCGTCAATGGCGGTAATATCTCTACCACACCGCTATTTTAAAATCGACTCCAAAGTCTAAATTAGTAATTACAAAAACAGCCCAGTCTTTGTACTACTCTTGCGTTCAGCTGGCTCCTCCATTATTTTCTGCTGTGGCTAGTACCATCTCCATCCTAACTCATCACTTTAAAATCCCTTCCCTACTAAAAATTTATAAAAACACCCTTGTAATGGTACTACCGTTACGCTTTGCTGCTCAATTTATAAGACTTGTTTGTCCTTGTTTCTGCTGAGGCAGGTACCACCTCTATCCTAACACATCACGCCCGTTAAGGTCGGTACCACTTCAAACCCAATGCATAATTCAAGATCCATCCTGGATTAAAACTAATAACAAAAACACATTTATAAGACTTGTTTTTGTAGAGGCCGGTACCACAAACATCCTAACATATGCTTTTAAAATCCAGTTCGTACTAAAACCAATAACAAAAACATCCTCGCTACGGTACTAACCTTGCGTTTCGCTGGCCCGCTTGTTGGACTCGTTGCCGTTGAGGCCGGTACCACCTCCCCCAGTACCGCCTCCGCCTCCCCCGTTGTGATTCTCTTCGTGATCGCCGTTGTTGTTGTTCAGTCCGAGCAGTGCTCGCACCCTAGTGGATCGTACGTCGATGATGCGGTCCGTGTAGCCGATTTCTTGCAGGTACTGCCTGAGTAGCTGCCTGCCCTGTTTCCACGTCGAGTTTGTCACTTGCACGTACGACTGATCCGCGTCTGTACCTTGCTCGGAGGATTCTTCGATCACCGGCGGTTTCACGTCACCTGTAACAACCGAAATGTTATTAATAAAGATAGTGCAAATGTCAGTCAGCGCAGTATATATACATTTTTATGAGTTATTTTCTGGAAAAATCAAAAATTCTCCGACCATAAACCAATCTCGTGTTCATAATTTTTATTAGCAAACAAGCGTTAAATACGTATCCCGTAAACGTCGAAACTTTGGCTTAATGAAACTGCAGTCCATTTGGGGAGCCATAAAGAACTGGCGTCAAGTAAGTTGACTCTGTATTTTCACGCAACGCTGTCATCAGTTCGTAAAGGATTATGTCGGGCACAAGTTAGTCCAAAAGTTAGCTACGAACATGTATAAGAAAAAACGTTCCTCCTTTCCATGAGAAGAATTGCTACAGGCGCCCATGGTCGTTGCTATGACCAATCCCGCGTGAATGACGATAATGGCCTTCACAATGATCAGTGCACACAGGCTACAGCAGTGTGGAAGCGATTGCCGACCACCGACGACGACGCTTGTCCATCGGGGTACCACGTCGCATGTTTCGTAGTTTTGATGGTAAATATCTATGATGAGTGAAATATGTGCGTAGAATTACTGGGGTTGGAAGCGTGTAAATATAACAATGTAAAAAATTGAGATATACTCCCCCCATCCTCTGCGACACCTAACCTCCAATTTTTAACCCCTACAAAATTTTTCTCGAAAATTATCAGGATCGTCTGAAATGTCAAAAAACGAAGTTTGAGTGATTTTTTTTGCATATTTCTCCGCCACTGGACCGTTTTTGAAAAACTTTTGCGTCCTTGGCATAGTAGTATCATTATGTGAAAATTTCAAAGAAATCCGAGCAGTGCTTCGAAAGTTATAGAGTTATAAAATCAGCGGACAGACCTGCAAACAGATGGACTGACGGACATGATTTTTCGTGTTGTGCTTGTCATATAACATCCGTAAAAACATGGTGTCTCATTTTCTAAAATTTTTGCGATTTCAATCTTTTGAACAACTTGACCGAATTTCTTTAAAAGACCGATTTACTGATCCAAAAATGAAACCCTCCCATTTTTGAGAGATGAGTCAAATTTTTGACAGTTCTGTCATTAAATTCGTATTGTACTGTTATCTTTTAGAAGTGCGAGTGTTTGCAGATAATTGTGGTTTTAGACGATTGCAAGACATGGTACTTTTTACATATTTAGCAAAGAGCGACACAAGCGTAATTAAGGTAGATATTTTCACTGGTAAGTATTATTGCATTGATACAATGCTGTTACTTTGGTAAGCGTTGGTGGTCAGATGAGTCAAAAGTATGCACTAGAACTAGGCAATTTTTGGCGACAATGCATTGTAAACATATTGACCTGGATGCTTTTAATCTATTCGAATTAAATACCGACCCTTTTCTTTACTTGTATGTAAACCTTGTAATTGAAGATTCAACAAAGACAGAATAATAATTCTAATGTCGCCAAAATGTGAGATACACTCACCCTCACTCCTACAACCCTTCACCCCCCAGTTTTTTACCTTACAAAAAACTTCAAATTTTAGCAGGAGCATTTGAAACTTTAAAATACGAAGTTTGGGCATTTTCTTTTGTTGTGTTGGGGGTTAATAAACAGTACAAAATAATAACATATAATAATCAAGGGATTATTTTTACAAATAACAAATATAGTTCACGCTAATTCCACTGTTTGGCTGCCCATCTACACCCATCCGCTCAGAGTTTTTTCTGAAAGTACCTTAATGCATATCCGAATATCTATGACACAATGAAGCAATGTCAGTATACCATTTAGCAACAAATCGTTTCAAATCCTCTGAAAAACTACATCGTCAGTGTCGATTACAGAATAGTTTTTTTTCAATTATTCTGCGATTGTGTTGAATTTTTCCGCATGATCTGTCGAAAATCTGCTCGGGTGTACATTCGATTCATTCCAATCAATTACAAACGCTAAAAAGCGAGTTTGAATTCCCGGCAACAGTAAAAATACTTCCGCTATCTTAAAGAATTTGATTTGGATATGTTTGAAGGTATCATTGCTTGACGTATTTTCCAGATTCCTAACTCCATGCTGTATATGGAAGTTCACTATTAATTTCTAACATGATAATCATGTAGTAAGATCCCAGTATTTTTCTTAGAACAAATACACTCCATTTTTCTTTTAAAGACAATGGTAAATTCTTAAACATATTAGGTTTCCAGGAAAGATCACCCCTTAGCCTTCCTCCTGATTGTTCCTTGGATTTAACATTCTCAGAATTCAAGAGATAGGAGGAAGTCAGAAGCAAAACTTGATAGAACCTTGTTCGAAATTGATGTCATTCATTGCGAAAATAATAGAAAAGACTGTTTAACAAAAAAAAAATTGCTAAGTACAACCAAATGACTTGAGTGAGTTCAAACTTGTAGAGAAGGCGGATCACATGTTCCCTGGCTCCCCCCAAAGCCGGCGCATCCAGTGTTGACAAATCGAAACGCTACCTTGCCAGTCTCATCACTTAATTTACAGACCTCGTATGTAGTTGTAAACAGAAGTGATTAAGTGCTTCACAGTACATTTAGGTTTCTTCTGGTGGAATATCAATGTTTAGATAAATAAATAAATGTTCAGGGCCCAACGTTTTTATATACTAATGCAGCAGTGTAAGCAGAAACAGTGGAAAAAGCCTCCTGCAGCAGATTGTCCCAAAGTCTCGACACCCTATAGGAACAAAGGAACGGTCGTACCAGCCAGTTTTTTGATGTATGAAGTCCGAGGAATTGGGAGCGCTCTGAAGACCGCCAGTCGATGCAAAAGGGTTATTTACTATAAAGCTGTTTTCAAATTGTTTTTGTCTGTAAGTCACTTAGTATGATGGCTACAGTTACATTCTTTTAAAAAACTACAATATTTTGAATTTTATATTTTATAATTCTTTAATTTTCTTCTAAACATCTTACAATTACAAGTAGACTTTCTATCATTTTTTAATGTATAAATTCAAGTAATCATTTCCGAGATATTGATTTACTAGTTATATTACTCTTGCAATTTTGTAAATGGAAATCTATATTTCCTCTTGTATAATAATTGTGAGTTACACGTTTGTCGTAAAGTAGTCGTAAATTTATATTTGCTATTATTTTGGTAATTTAAAACGTCGATTAGCATCAAACATATTATTATAAAATGTGAAATGACTTTCACTAACATATGAATCTATTATATATCGCGAATGGCCATAGAATGAAAGTCTTCCAGCTATATATGAGGTAATATATGCGTAAAAATGCATGACTGATTATAATAATAATTAAGAACAGTGCAAAGAAGTACTACTTTCCGTAAAAAAAGTGTGAAAAAATACAGCAAGTTTGATGACACCTTCAGGAAGTGTAAGAAACGAAATGGTTCATTTCACATATATGCAATATTTTAACTTGAGACCATGCATCTTCCAAACTTCGCAGCACTCTTAAGATTTGGTAACTGTCATATTCAGAATAGGGGTCACAAATTACTTAAATTTACCGAGCTTTGTCTCTTTTAGAAATGGACCACCAAAATTGAATTTTCGTCTGATACTTTGTGGAAATTTTCGATAATCCTTGTGTATTTGCGAGTCATTTCCTGAGCAAATCGTGTACTTAGACCACGAATCACATTTGCACTGGAATGGACGGAAAGCTCTTGACTGTGGTGAGCAGCCAGGTGTGTAATGGCGGCGAGCTGCTAGGACACTGGATCGAAGTTGCGCGGGTTCGAATCCCCTATCAAATGATCTGTTCATAATTCGACACACTAAAATATTCGCATGTTTTTAAACACACTCACCTTGCTGCAGATCTGTTCCATATTTGAGCTTGTGAAACTTGGCCCTTTCTTGCTTCAGGGCAAATTCGAGCATCTTTATTCTTCGCACAAGATCATGTTTGAGATTTTCCTGACCCTTTCTTTCACCCTGGAGAAACGCGATCCGCGCCTGAAACAAAATTAATACACTCAAAAACACAACAAAACTCTAGCATGCTTATTTTTACCAGGGAAACAAATTATTGCAAACTGTAGCAAACAGAAAAATATGATATAAAATAAAGAATATAAAACCTGCTTCTACTGAAATGTTTAAAATTTTTGTTTCCTAATGCCTAAGTACACAAATGAGTCAAAAATAGATATCTGAGTTCAAATATCATTTCAGTCTAATTTTTTTTGTTATCATTGAAAACAGTTGAAGAATTATAATCTAAAATTTTGGGGAAAGCTAACCCCTAGCAAGTGAAAAAACCAATAATCTCATACCTTTGTGGAAGCACAATCACAATCTGATACACTCTGTAAAAGTGTCTACAACTGACTGATTCTGAAGTGTGTATGAAAGAAAGTTTTTCAACAATAAAGCTTGTGTCACAGTAGCTGAAGCGTTACGGGCAGCGTCGGCCGCCGTTTAAAAACATTTATGCAATGCTTAACTATATACTATTTGATACAACCATTTAATTGCCTATTTGTATTTGGAAACTGAAATCTCTTATGGAGAAATGCTTTCTGATGCTGCATTGTGTTTCAGGATACTTATCAATGGATGAATCTAAAGTGGCTGTTAATTTGGAAGTTTAGTAGATACATTTTTTCACACAAAGACATTTGAAAATGTAGGTTGTAGTAGGTTTTTGATCAAGTATCACATAGATCCTAACTTGTAGTGGGATGTCCATATCAATAAAATTTGTACAAAGCTTCCAAGCAATGCCTTCGAGACAAAAGGAATTACAAGTGTTTCTACAAAAACTATAAGGACCGATTACAATTTGCATGGTTGCATCTTGATTGGAGCATCTGGGACTGGAAGAGGGTATGTTTCAGTGACGAATCCAAGTTCAATATGTTTGGATCAGATGGTGTTCATTACATTAGACGTCCTAGTGGACAAAGGTTGAACCCCAAGTACACTTTGCCCACTGTCAAACATGGAGGCGGGTCTGTTAAGGTTTGGGGGTGCTTTTTGGGGTTTCGGAAGGGACCTTTAAATAGAATAGATGGCATTATGGATAAGTTTCTATACACAGACATACTAAAGCATGTCATGTTACCCTATATGGAAGACAATATGTCTTTAGATCAATCTTCCAGCAAGATAATGACCCGAAGCACACTTCAAATCTCGCAATGAAATTCTTTCTGGATGAAAAAATACCAGTTCTCAAATGGCCTTCACAGTCTCCCGATATAAACCCCATTGAAAATCTATGGGAATACTTAGATAAGCAAATACGAGATAAAAATTATTGAAGCAGGGATGAAGTTTTTGCCGTTTTAGAGCAAAATTGGAGACATATTGATGAATCTTATATCAAGAAACTTCTACAATCTATGCCGAGACGATGGCAGGCGGTGTTTGATAATTATGCTACAAAATGGTAACACACACACATATGGTTGGTTTTCTATAATTCAATGAACTTTGCTTCTTTTTTATATAATTGTTTTGCTTTGTCTATATATTTTTGACCTTCATAGTTCCAGTTTTTTTCAATTAATTTTTTATTGACGGGAGTTTATTTATGCATAAGTGAGTATTATGCTATAACAAATTATGTATACAGGTTGGTGTATTAATAAAACAACAACAACAAAATACAGCACAATATTAATTTTTCTATATACTTTTGTCCATCACTATATGTTCATGTATATTTATTTATTCCTGTACATATATATAAAAGTATATATATATATATATATATATACTTTTCGAATCCTTTTAACTGACCTGTGAAAGAACTTATGTACATGTTCACCAATAAATAATTCGAATTTGAAGACAAAGCAGAGAAATCAAAAAATCAGCATGATCATTAAAGATGATGTATTTGCTACAATTGCATTGTTCAGGTTCTATACAAATGATTATGTGCAGTATGTTCTCATGTTGTAAAAAGTGTTTTGTGATTGGCTACTGGCAGAAGAGAATGGTTCTGAGATAGTTGAAGTTCTTTGTAGAACCCAAACATTGCAAGATTTATTTAATTCGGTACTCAAAGGAAGGTAATCGGCCAAAATCACAGCATTTGGCCTCATTGGGATCCTTGTGTGCCCTTCTAAAGGGTTACACATAGCTGGATGTTGAGCCATCACAACCTATTAGAGGAGGTGCCGATAAGACACTAGATCTGTAGACAGAGTCATATCCAGGCTTCATAAAAACGCTTTTATTTAGAAAAAAAACATTGCAACACAATGGCTGCTGACTTCATTTCAAGTTGGGTAAGAATAAAACAAGTTAAAAAATTATACTGCAGCCTTTAATACAAAGATTGCACTTGCTGATCAACTGTTCACCTCAGTAGATGTCAAAACATAAGTGATCCTCGTGCAAAATACTATAATGGTAGAACTGAAATTTGAGGTTCCCTTATAGCTTTGAATATGTCTAAGACACCAGTAACAATAAATTTTCAGGTATAGAAACAGGGCTCATTAAAAAATTCCAAAGAGAATCTACCTCTAATGTGGTTTGGTGCTATTCTTGCATCCCTAAAATTAAGTTCTGATCTCTACTAAGAGATTGCTAGAGTTTTATTAAATACACTGATATTTAAATAATAAAAATGCTGGTGAAAACCTAATGCTTGGCTGTTTATTTTTTTTCAGAGAAAATATGATTTTACATGCATTTATACAGTTGTCATACAAATATTAGCTTATGTATTAAACTACAGCTTTTTTAAATTGAACATAATTGAAATAACTCGAGAGTATTGTATGGGGTGTAGGAAATATTATACAGAATACCTTTTTATTTTTAAGAATTGTTACATACATCAGAATAAAACCACAATAAATAAAATGTAAATGTAACAAAGTTTACAATAGGAGATTAAACCTTTCATAACAGGAAAACAAATATAAACATGAAGATAAGTGTCAAATAAAACTTGATACCCTTTCACCTACTGATACAAAAATAGTGTACCACGAGGTTAACATCTGAGTTTAAATTTTTTTCATAGAATATTGAACAGAAGCGAAATACCCTATTTATGCTCCAAAGTAGGCACTGTCAGTCATATATTTTGAATAAATTAAAACATTTTAATGAAATAGAGATATGTTGAAGGTCCTTAGAAGTCATTTAAGTTTCATTGGGGGTTTACAATTTTATTAAACAATTCTGCAGTATAAAAAAAAAGAAGTAATGAAATGTTTAATGAATTAATCACTGAAAGTCATCAAAACCTATTAGCATTTCATTGAGAAACTGTGTGGAGTTTGTGTATGGAACAGTCGGGTATCCTACTTGTGCTTCAGATTTGGCATTATTGTTTTAAAAAATAAGTTTCACCAAATATTTACAATTGTTATAAAAACAAAATTAACTATACTACTACTACATCCTTTATAAAATAAGGAAAAACAAAGGAAATGTAACAAAAATATCAATGGGTTTTAAATGTAAACATGAAGGGTATGAAATAAAACTTGATACCCTTTCACCTACTGATAGTGGTTATGGGGGAGTTCACAATCACCAAAATACAGTAATTTCGCGAGGTTGACGTTCAAATTTACGATATTTTTGGGAAGAAAGTCAAAATTTCTTTAGAAGCTGAGCATACAACTCAATATACAGATTTAGCACTGTCTAAACAAAATGTTCCTAAAATATTGAAAGTAGAAGCTTTTGATAAATCTGAATAAAATTAAAAGCACTTAAAAATAAAAACAAAGAAGCTTCACTGGGTGCTTACAGTTCTGTCAAGAAAACATAAAAAAATTGTGCAGTGTAGGAAAGTCGTGTTAAATATCGCACCATGGCAGAGGGTGAACTGTACATATTCATTAAAAATACGGATAAACAAAGAAAACGAAACGGAATTTTGGATGGGTTTTAAATTAATCAATCACCGGGTGCCATCAAAATCTATTAGTAATCACCTGATAAACATGCTTGGAGGTTCTATATGTAAGATAAGCATAAAAACGGATGCAACTTACTTGTAATTCGGCTCGATCAACTTCCCATTGTGATCTTTCCAACTCGAACCTAGCCCATTCGTGCTGGATGAAATGCAATATTCCCGGTATGGAATAGTGGGATTTCGTGTTGACCTCTTCATTCTGCTTGTTGTTTCCCACGGCGCCAGCCTGCGGCCCCATTTGGCTACCGTTTTGATGGTTCAGCGAGTTGTCTTCCATTGCGACTTTGTATTATCTCATATGGCCACCATTGCTCACTTCTCTCAAATCGCCATTTTATCTGCTTTCTTCAACTTATCACTATCCACTCGAATTCTATATCACAGTTGGAGATTTAGTCGGAAATTAGAAGATCGGGGTGTACTGTAACGAACTATCGGTTTTGTTTGGTATTTATAAAATACATGAAATTATTTTAATAAAAGTACGATGGAAATTTTACACACAAAATTCAACATCTGGTTGAAGTTTCTGTCTGTCTTTTTCTCTTGCTCAGGGTTGCCACACCGATAACAGAAAAGTTACTAGACTATCATATTTTTAATTCGACCTTCCTGACAGCGGTACACCTATATAAGCGACGTTTATTTTTAAAAATCACTGGATTTGGATAGTTCCCGAGATGTTTTTTCAAAAACGATACGAATATAGAAATGTTTGAGGAACGTCTTTTATAAAAACGGGATCACAACTATAAATAAATTCAAGATAAAATATAAAATCTTTCTACGAAAATTTCATGCTCTTGCTTGGTGTATGTTAAATAACTTTTGCTTTTACGTTCATATGTCTATAAGCACCAAAAATTATCAGTTCGTGTGAAAAAATAATAAAAATATATGAATAAAGCATTATTCGTGGTAAAAGGCAGTAAGCTTCATTTACAGTTTTTTTTAAATTTACGCTAGTACATTTCTTTAATGGAAGAAATGCAAAATTTAAAAAAGGCAGTATAAAATTAATTTCCTCTTGCATCTAGGGTACCATACGAGAGACGTCTTTTAAGTTTTGCATATGGAAATAAAACAACACGGTAGGTAGTTTTAAATGACTTTATTGTTTTCGAAGTATTCTCCATGAAGATTAATTTACAATTGCAATCGTTTGCTAGCAGATCCAAAACGGCATTTTTGAATGCGTCAACTGCTTCTTTTAGCGACTGTAACCTTTGACCACGCAGTCTGTTTTTAATTTTCGGGAATGTAAAGACATCGTTAGGACTTAGATCGGGACTATACGGAGGATGGTCCAATAATTCCACGTTTTCTTCCGTTAAATACTGCCTTGTTTTTTGGGCTGTGTGCGAGCTTGCATTGTCTTGGTGGAGGATGATTCTTCTTTCGGGGTTGATTTTTCGAAGCTCGACTGTCGTTTATTTTCTGGTCCATAACAGTAAATCCACGATTCATCACCACTAACAATGCTGTATACATTATTTGGGTTTCCGGAATTGAAACGTTCAAGCGTTTTTGACACCAATTAACCCTGGCTGCTTTCTGCTCTTCAGTCAACAGGTGGGGTATCCAACGAGAAACTAATTTTCATACTCCTAATTCTTCATGTAAAATTTTTTGAATTGAGGTCTTTGAGATCTTCAAGGACGCCTCAATCTCGCGATATATCACATGTCTATCTTCAATGATGAGTTTGCGCACAGCATTGACGTTTTCCTGGGTGACTGCCGTTTTTGGTGCACCCACCCTGGGATCGTCGCTAAGACTCACCCTTCCACGTTTGAATTGTCCATACTAACGGGAAATTGTCGACTGATGTGGCGCTTCGTTGCCGAAAATAGACAGTTACTCAGCAAGGCATTCTTGTTGCTATAATTGTTTCTGAAAGTTGTAATAAATTATGGTGCGAAAATGTTCTCGGTTAAGTTCCATTTTTCTAATGACTTGGTGACATTTAAAAATTCACTGTAGTGAGAACACTGCCACGTATTGTTGTGAAACTTTGAATTTAAGTTTACTAAAGAGTGAGGTTAAGATTCAGTACTGACGTTCGATCCGCGCGGCCTACTATGTTTCTATACTATATGCAAAACTTAAAAGCCATCCCTCGTACCTATAAGAACAAAATGTAATTTAGTTTCACTGTGAAGTAAAGCATGTCTTGCTGTTTTATGTCGTCGCATAATTTCTATATGTCCAATGTTAATATTCATGATATGCAATGTATTTCTGGCAAATAAGCCTGGCGCTGGTGCGAAGAGCGGTCTTGAAGTAACCATCTAAAAGTCACTAAATTTAGGTTGGTAGCGCTGCTTTACGCACTCTTCTGTCAATAAATATAAGGCTGTCTCTTTCTACCTTCTTCTTTTTGATTGGTTGTTTCCTGACACTTCCCAACCCATTTCCGTTGTTTTCTTGTAAAAGGGTAACATTCTATTTTAAAATTAAAGCTACTTAGTTCCTACCGCAGTGTTTTTAATTTCCACTAGAGAAATTCCGTTTTCATAAATAAAAAAAGCATCAAGCAGTTATTTCGAACACGTTTATTTGTCTCCATTCATATAATTCATACAAGGGAATAGATGGGCTACACATTTGGCTTAATTTGACAGAGGCGGATTTGCCCTAATGCATGCATTAATATTTTTTAGATAATTATGTAATAATGGTACTTAAATCATATTTTTGGAATGTCCGTTTTCTCAACGGAAAATATCACATAAAAAGGCATTTCAATACTGATTTTTTTGATTTTGTGATGCCGAAAAATGAATTATCTACATACACCTTTAATGTAAGACGCCATTGCTTCCTTTATGAGTCTTATGTCGAAGAATTCTAGAAAAGTTAAAACCCATCTACCAGCGGCATCCTTTTTTAATAGAAACTTGCGTAATTCGTATTTGCGACAAAGCTTCCAATAAAATTTTTATAAATCATAAATATTAAAAGCGCAACAATAAATTTATCGCTTTCTCATGTATTCATGAGGTTTGTCCTTCAACACAGACATTCTTGGAAACCATAGGTTTTACATTCAGCTCTTCAGCTAATTTTGCGTTGGTGTCATGCTGGTTTTGCACATACGTAACTCCACCTTCTAGCTCGACTTTATGCATGTGCAGTAATTCTTTATCTCCATGGGCTAAGACCGGCTTGCTTGGATCAATCTAAAAAAAAAACTCAATGAGGAAAAATGTTCCAAAAAATCTGGTTCGATGGAATACCAATATTTTGCTTGGGCTAAATTTGGTATTTGAGATTTGAAGAATTGAAATTTTGAATAACCTTCTGCCAGTTTATTAGTAATACCTAATAATACGAAAGCCCGAAAAACAGTGTTTGGCCCACGCTTTTTAGAAAGAAACATCGGCCAGTCATATAATATACCTTTTGTGCAAAATAATCATATATTAATCGTCAAGCCGGAAACGGGGGATAGGCCAAGTCATAATAGCTATCAAGAAAAATCCAAGACGTGAATTTTTCAAATTAATGGCTTTAAAAAATGAAAAACCTACACCCTGTCATAGTCTTTTAGTTCCCATTACTACATTTTTTTTAGGCGGAGTGAGGGACAGTGCCATTCTACGTAGTGACAACAAGACAGATACTATAACGTCACTTTTATTAACTCGTGAATGTATTTATTAAATCCACAATAAATGATTAAACTGCCTTCCCTCAGCAACAGTGCAAGATTGATATCTTAAACATGATCCACACGGGATTTACGTACCATGAAAAGTGATACTTATTATGTAGGCTTTTCTACAAGATGTTAACTAAGCACTAGCTGATGGACACGTTGTGAACTCATTTTGTAGTCGTATGTGTTGCCTAAATGTCATGTCGTCATGAGGCTTCATCGCTGCTTCATTTATCAATGTTTGGCTCTGATGTGATGTAAAATCTGCTTCAGAGATGGCATTACTGGAGGTAACGGCAATGCATAGATGCATAGTAAGGATTTGTGTGCTCTAATAATATGTGTTGATGATAATTCCATTGGATTATTGTCTCAAATACACTTACTTGAGATTCAAAGTTACAAATTAGTTGCGCATCCATTTTTTCTTATACATTCTGGAAATTATATATGCAAATTTGCTGAATTTCAAAAATGAGAGCGATAAGTTATAATTATATTCACTGTACACTGTCAAATTTCAAGTCACATACATGTTAAATTACACAAAACGTAAAAAATCGTAATTTATGACTTCGAACATAACCTGTCTTCAGAAAGGACAATATATAAATCTGTACCCGAGAGGTAAACAATCGTGAATCCAAATAGTTTCGTGTAATGGATAACACAAGCGAAAATTTCAACACAGCTTCAACGGACGACATATTGCATCTTCAAAATTAAAAATATTAACATCAATAAGGTAGTGGTAGTAATAGTGTACTTTATTGCTATTTTAATTATGAGGCAATATTACTATAATACCTCAAAATTGGGTCAAAATGGTCTTACGACTCTTTACTTCTGAGCTACTGAAATAAACAGCTAATAGATATATTTCATTGACAGCATATTCAGTAATAATTTTCTCGCATAGCAAATATCACTGATTTTATACACATGCAGACCAATACACATAATTATCCTGATGCGATCTCGCTACTCAACCAACTTTCTTTCTATCACATCTTCTCAGAGGTAAACACTACAGACTACTCGGCTTCACAAAACATATACTTGCCCTCTGCAACCAACAATGCGTGTAGTTGCGTCATTTCTCCATAGATAGCCCAATTAGCAAGTAGTGGTATAAGCTTTTGGTAAAAGAACCGTTCAGCCATAAAAGCTCTCTATTGTTGTTGCCTGAACACCAAAATGCTAGCCTAATGTTGTGTGGAATGCAAATTTGCTTTCTGCAACATATTTGCTCTAAAAAGAGGTGTTTAAAATAGTGTTATAGCATAGTTATACAACACCTTATAGGGCAAATTTTTAACTGTTGCATAAACGTTTATACACCTATTTTATACGACATATTTGCAAGTTAGTTAAAATGTTTGTGTTGTGGCATCCATGGTAACGTTTATAAAACAAACCCGAGCCTTGTTGTTTTGCTGTGCAATTTACTACCTTTGCCAACAAATTGCTCTGTTGTTTAGTAACTGTTAAACGCTGTACATATTATGCTAAATATGTTGGCAAACAACTTCACCATAACCTAACTTTCTGCTGTCATATTTTTGTTAAAATGCCATAACCAATGTTTTAAGACAAACAACGCATGCATATTGGTTCAAAAGGTTTTATCAACTGTTCAAACAGAACATATAGAGCTGGTACAAATTCTGGGTAAATCATTCGACTCTGTCGGTATTTCATTTCAGACATTTGTCAAATTGTTGTATAACACCTGCAGGCAACACCAAAATATTCTAATAACCTAAAGACAACATGGACGATGCCATGATTATAGACAACCACCCGCCATATTGGGCAAACATTTATTCCTCTATTGAATATTAAATAATTATGTTTCAGTTCGAAATTACAGATATAAAGTGATAAACATTAGCGTAATTGTGTCTAAATATAGGATTTGTGGAAGATTTAACGCAGATAAGTTCAGTTTTCCATCTTAAAAATCTAGACAAACTTTTGATCATTGTCAAAATATGAATCAAATACGAAGCTCGTAGAAATTTGCACGATAATCACAATAAAATTTGCTGCGCAAGTAATTCAATAGCCCTATATCAAAGTGTAGAAGTTTATCATATACCTGTGTATGAAATTCACAATGGCCGATATGTAAGTAAACAAGATGACTGTAATGTGTTAGTTATATATTCTTCACTTCGTCTATGCAATACATAAGAAATAGTTTGGTTGCAATAAAGTAAAATCACGTAACAGAATAGTTGTATAGTTGACAAAAACTGAATCTTGCACTGACGCAAATGTCCTATAGCGGCTGCAGGGGGCTGACACTTTTGTTGTATAAATGTTACCTGCAGCCCTTATACAACCTCTTAAATGACTGAAGTGTCCTATTAGGTGTGCCCATTCCGCTTGTATAGCTGTTCTAAGAGGGTTTTTCCAATATACAATGCTGTTTAAGGAATACTATATAATCATTCTTGCAACTCTAATAGGAGTGATAATTGTTAGTTGGGGGACGCTCACAGCGATCATAGCGAGCAAACCTGGAATGAACTATTTGCACCCTAAAAACTACCTAGTCCGCGAGATGATATTTCGTTGTTTTTTTTTTTGACGTTTTATAGGTTTAGTACATAATAGCTGGTACCAAATCTCCCGTTTCCGGCTTGACGTCGACTTCTGGGTATAGGGAAAATACGGGCAACGTAAAAACCGTGGGAAAGTCTGACTTCTCGTTTTACACCAAATCATGAATTAGTTATTTTAAAAGAGTACATGGACTTAGTGTTGTGGCCGACTTGTTTTTGTAAATTTCGCAACATTGTGAGTTGACTTCAAATAAATTCGCATATCTAACTTAACCATGTATTAAACCCCAAAACTTCAAACAAACCCAACACTTAGGAGTGAATTTACTCAAGTGGATTATGCCTAAAATGTGCATCCACTCCCAAGAAAGCATTTTCAGCAAAACAATAAAAAAAGAATATTTCAAAGAGTGTGATTTAGGTGGTTTTTTGAAGTCACCCATTCAATTTTTTTTAACGTACTAACGTAAAATCGATGTCCGCTAAACAATACTATAAAGCATCCCACAAACCGGCGCGAAATAATCGCGGCGAAGTATTCGCAACGAAATTCAGAGCGAAATTCGCAATCTGTTTCGCCTGTTTATTCATACCAAAGCGTCTTATTCGCTCCGCGAACGTAAAGGTTTCGACAGGTTGCGTACATTTTATTTTTGCCTTTTGCAATGAGCTCGTCTTCAGAAGAAGAGGAGGCACTTCTATTTCTTGCTTTAGAAGAGGAGCAAAATGCACGGTAAGTTATGTTTATTTAACGCCATTTGATAGTTGGGTATGTATTAAGTTTAACGAAGTACATAAAACAAATACTTTCAATTTTGTTTAGGAAACGAAGGAAGTGGGTACATGATATTAACTTGGAACGAAATAAATTTGGGGAATACCATACCTTGATGCCACAACTTCGGCTGGATGAACAGCGCTTTTACGTATATTTTAGAATGACTCCAGAGTGTTTCGATGAAATATTGAACTTGGTGAAAGATGAAATACGAAAATCTGACACAAATTATCGTGAAGCTATTTCGCCAGAAGAACGACTTGCTATTACACTCAGGTAAAAAAACTATATGTATTAAAATTAGTGGGCTTATCGAATACGAAAACTTCAGGGATCGTGAAATAAATATGTTATTGTAATAATTGGACTACATGTTGCCACTAGGATTAAATGTTGCTAAATAATTCGAGGCAGAATTTGCCTCCTCTGTTGGGTATATTATTGGAGTAAACCCAGAGCCGCTTGGGAAGGATGATATACTACTATCATACATACTTGCAGAATTCTGGGTAGACGCTGAAGACATTTCTTCAATATGTTCAAATTCTTCGTGCGCTATTAATTCGGCTATTTTTAGTTTTATTCGGGCTTGACGCTTTAAGGGAAGTGTTTTCACAGTCTGTGCATGTGCCAAGAAAAGTGAATCAATGGCCTCGTTCTCTTTTGAGGTTTTTTACCTTCAAAATAATCAATGAGCTGTTGTACAGACGAAGATGGTGGTTCATAGCGTTTTCTGCTCGTTTTATATTTTAGTGTAGTTGCAGTCTGCGGAAAGATGTGCCCTGGAGTAGTCACTGCTGTAGTGTTCAATGAAGAAGGTGGTGCTGTCTGTGTTGCCGAGGCGTTCTGTGCATCTTCTGCATCTGCATCAGCATTTTCATCTTCTCCATGGCCGCGGTCTTCCAAATTTTCGGTTTCTACATTTCCAGCCCTTTCCTGATATATATTTGAGTTAAATTCGGCAGTCTCATAATGTATGACGTCAATATCTTTCACATTAGACGGCGTTTTGGCAAATGCCAAAAAAGGACGGAAAAATTCCATGTAGTCAGCTCACTGCCATTTTTTTATGTTGCCCACTGCTTGGCCGGTCTTTGGTTTGGTAGATTTTATATATTTTGCAAATGTGTCTCTGATATTCTTCCACCTTTTTTTTACTTCATCACCTAAAAACGATTTTTTTTATAGATTCCTTGCCACCGGTGACACCTTCTATACCATTGGGCATAGCTTTCGAGTTGGCTTTACAACAGTGAGTGCAATCGTAACCGAAGTCTGTGAAGCGATATGCAGACATATGGAGCATATATATTTACCAGAACCAACAGAGAATATATGGAAAAAATGTGCTGAAGAATTTGAAAATAGATGGGGATTTCCCAATTGCATTGGCAGCGTGGACGGTAAACATGTAACAATCAAGAGACCTAACAACAGTGGCTCCAATTACTGGTGCTATTTACATAAATATTCAATAGTACTTATGGCCATTGTTGGCTCGACTATAAATTTATATGTGTTGATATTGGTGGTTTCGGAAAAAATAGTGATGGGGGTATTTTCGAAACCTCAAACATGGGAAAACGATTTGAACAAAATTTAATGAGTGTCCCTGCACCTAGATTTCTCCCTGGGCAAAATGAAATCTGCTCGTACGTCTTAGTTGGTGATGAAGCATTTGCTTTAAAACCATACCTTATGAGACCATTTCCTTATAAGCAGACTTTAAGAGACGTCAGAAAAGAGAAATACAATGTAAGACTTTGTCGAGCTAGAAGGGTCGTGGAAAATGCATTTGGTATTTTGTCTCAAAAATGGCGAATATTTTACAGGCCATTAGAAACTAAAGTAGATACAACTATTCTAATTGTACGTACGGCATGTGTTTTACACAATTTTTTACGAAGTAAAAGTGGCGATGACAAATATTTTCAATTCTTAGATCCCCCAGAACCCGTGCTTGGAGCTTTTACTGATATAGCAAATGATCCTCGGCGGGCAGCAAGGCTAGCATTTTCTACTCGTGACAAATTCGTAAATTATTTTAATTCTGATATGCCTATGCCCAATATATAGAATGTTCGTTTTCACATTTGTGTAGACTGTTATTTAACAAGTTAATAAAAAATATTAGGTACATACCATTTGTATTTAATTCTTTTCCTATTTCCATCCAAATCTTGTCTTTCTTTCTCACATTCCTGTATTCATCGTTCGACAAATCATACAAACAAGGATACTTTTTCACTATTTCTATCAATAATTCCGTTTTTGCCATTGCGAATTTTTGAAGAACGGCGTCAAAAACGCGGTCAAAGGCAAACTGAAATACGCCGCGATAAAAACGCTGGAACAATTGCATTCGCTTCGCACAAGTCGGAGCCTGTCCGTAAACCGCCGCGTTTTAATCTGATCGCGAATTCATCGCCGCGAAATTTTCGCAGCCAAAGCGAATATTTCGCGCCGGTTTGTGGGATGCTTTACTCAAATTGAATTCATCAATGTGAAATCTGAAGAAGTACATTTTCAAATAGAAAAAATTACCGGTTCCATTTTTCTCATAGTGTCCATCAAATCACTCATTCTTTCTTCGAAGCCGGGTGCAAAGAACGTGTGATCAATAGCTATAAATCCATGTCCTAGATTGGCTAATTTTCCATAGTCTCCCCATTTTCGAACGTTTGGACCATACGCAGCTCCTGGAAAATCATTCAACCAATGTTTCTAGTATTATTTTGAGCACTTAAAACATAACTAATGTTTTTTCTATGCAATAGAGGAGAATAGATACGATCGTTGTCTCAAAAATAAGGTTCCCAACGCTGTATCTTTGCCGCGCGTGACGCTAGGCGAAATCTGGCAACACCGTCGTGTTTGTCGGCCCCCCCACCACCGATCCCAACAAGAAGCGCCTATTTGCGATGCTCAGTACCGGCCCGATAGCCATACTTAATGGAGCCTTTCATCGCCGTTACCAACGCCAGTTGCGAAATTCGTGCGGTCATCCGATATCTGCATGCAAAAACGTTAGCATCCATAGAAAATCTTGCTCGAAGATCGGCGAATCACGATCCGAAAATAGCGGTGTAAATAGCAAATCTATGATATCAACGGAAATTTGATACTATAGGACCAACAAACTTGTTATATCAAATCGTTTCTAATTTATATTTTTTAAAAGGCATGGGAAATGTTTCACAATATAGGATATGAGAGATGTATATATTTAGTCCTCGAACTCACCTGACAAAATCCCACTGAATATTTCGACCAACATACCCAAACCGTACCCTTTGTATCCAGAGTTTTCCTCAGTACCGCCCAAGGGCATGAGTTTTCTCGCATCTAGGGCCACACAAGCATCGGTTTCCACTTCACCTTGATCGTTCATAGCCCAACCGTGAGGAAGAGGTTCTTCTTTCCTACGTTGGATTTCTAACTAACAGAAGGTCTGTATTAGGCATCATACGTCAGTCGTTCCTACAATTGTAGGACGCCTTCACGGCCTCCTTGATTTTCGTAGTCTTTTCTCTCCTTCAGAAAGGCTGTGGTATTTCTAGATTTCTACTGTTCCGTGTCAGCGTCAGCTCTCTCCTATTGTGAGGCTATGATTTGTTTTGAATTGTAGGAAATTTCAAGCTGATGTAACGGATTATATGAATCAAAAGCATGAACAATTTGATGCGAATAGTTATTTGTAACATAACCTCAAAATAGAGCACTGACACGGAACTGTAGAAAACTATGAGTATCAAGGAGGCCGTAAAGGCGTCCTGCAATTGTTGTAAGAATGACTGACGATACGGCCTTTAAATTGAACCGACAATTACAAAAGTAACATGCTTGCTTCACGCGAATGCGTGCAGATATTTTTTTGTGAAATTGCGCCTGCACCCAAAACTTTTTGAAGAGAAGAACTGTATATCTGCCCCCACAACTTTTTAGTAGGGGTTTCAGGGAATTTACGCGTGCGCGACAGATTAAGATAAAGAGGAATACATTGGATCCTGTCTAGTACCAGTACTATATACGAGGAGGTACCCAAAAATAACCAGAATAGCATTGCAGTGGGCGGAGTTTGTGTAGTACACATGGCTGCCCCTAGAGGCGTACAGCGCAACTCATTACCAGTTCAGTGGCATCTGGCTTGTTTCGTTCCTCTGAAGTCATTATTTTTGCTAGAGCTGTTTCGTGCTTGTTTTGTTTTTTACGATGGCTAGCTTGTGAGCAACGTGCAGCTGTGAAATTTTGCTTTCTAATATACTAAGTGACATATAAATCCGAACACCCAGTTTAAATGGTTTTATTTTAATAAAAGTTGGTGAATGTATTTATCTTACTGTAAATAACAAGTGAAAAAATGTTCAGCCTTATCAGTTGGACATTCCGGTTTTTATACTGCTTTTTTTTAATTCACTAACGCTCTAAAAATGAATATTTCAGCCGCAGTAAAGAATCAACGTTGGCGGATTTTGGTTCTTGACATCCTTTACGATCGGTTACGATGCCTAGAGTACGGAGACCTGTACGATTTCGTCAACTTAGTGATTTTGATAAGGGCCGTATAGTGGGACTTCGGGAAGCTGGACTTTCTTTTCGGGCAATTGCAGTTGCAAAGAAGTGTAGACTGTGGTTAGGTGTTGTCAGGCATGGCTTCGAGAAGGCCGTACGCAAAGAGCAAGGGGCACTGGACGCCGCCGTAGAACAACAGACCGTGAAGATCGCCGCCTAAGATTATTGGCCTTAAGGGACCGTTCCTCCACTACCAGGTCTATTGCAAATGAATGGTTTGCAGAACACGGAAGACCTATTGGCATGAGAAGTGTTTACCGACGAATGAGAAGTTTTGGCTTGTTTTCATACCGGCCATACTGGGTCCTCCCTTTAACTCGAGAACACCGACGTAATCGCCTTGAGTGGTGCAGACAACGGTCACTCTGGGATCAGGAATGGAACAGTATTGTCTTTAGTGACGAGTCTCGATTTTGTTTAGGCATGCACGATGGTCGTGCCAGGGTTAGAAGGCGACGTGGTGAAAGGAGGAATCCACAGTTTTTTGTTGAAAGACATGTTCATCACACTGTTGAAGTTATGGTTTGGGGTGCTATAGCTTATGGATCCAGGTTACCTTTAATCTTCATCAGAGGTAACATGAACGCGCAGCGTTATATCCACGAAGTTCTAGAACCCCATCTTTTACCCTATCTTGACACCCTGGCAGATCCAACTTTCCAACAAGATAATGCCCGACCACATGTTGCAAGAGTCACAATAGACTTCTTTCAACATAATGATGTCACATTGTTACCATGGCCACCAAGATCTCCCGACTTATCCCCAATTGAGCATGTGTGGGATATGATGGGTAGGAGATTGCTCAATTTGCAACGTCCTCCTCAGACTCTAGAAGCACTTCGAGAGGAGTTGGTGGTTGCCTGGAATGAGATACCACAGGAGGACATTGACCACCTGATCAGAAGCATGCCTAGGCGCGTTGGAGAATGCGTAGCACATCAGGGTGCATCCACACATTATTAAAGGTCAAAGGGCTTTAAAGCAGTGCAATCATTTTGAAATTTTTATCATTTACTTATTATGCTTCATTAAGTACTTATTCAAAATTTTATTAAAATAAAACCATTTAAACTGGCTGTTCAGATTTATATGTCACTTAGTATAGCTTACACAGATGATGCTATGGGAAAAGCTCAGCTGAACGAGTGGTTTGCTCGATTTAAAAATGGCGATATGTCGATTGATGACGAACCTCGCTCTGGACGTGTATCAACTGCCAGAATCGACGAAAATGTAGAAAAAATTCGAGAGCTTGTGCTATTTGGAGGTTTTAAGACGATTGCGAAACAGTGTTCGGCAAAAAATTTCCGATTTGTGTCAGTCAGGAGACCGGTTTTTCCACCATATCTGTTCGACAGTTTTTGGCTAAAAATGGCATGGTTCCGCTGCCTCACGCACCTTATCCGTCTGACCTGGCTCCGTGCGACTTTTTCTTATTTCTACGAATGAAAAGGGGAATTAAAGGACGCCGCTTTGATGACATTGAAGAGGTCAAGGTCAGACATTTCTAAGGAAGACTTCAAAAAATGTTTCGAGCAGTGGAAGCACCGGTGGGACAAGTGTATTAGTTGTAGTGGACAGTATTTTGAAGGAGATAAGGTTACTTTGTGAAAAAGTTGAAAATAATTAGCTTTTAAAAAATAATTCCGTATAAGCTGCATATACAGGGTGCGGCAGAGAGGATGCACGGTTTTAAAAAAATCGTAAAATAGTTAATTTTTACACGAAAGCAAATTTATTGATGGATTCAGGTTTACAAGGAAATAGCATTTGAGACACTCAAGTGTGGAAAATCACATCAGGCATGTGGTGGCCGAAATCGTTGATGCAGTGCTGGAGGCGTTCTTGGAAGTTCGCGTAGACTCTCTCCAACATCGCTCTCTCAACTTGGGCGACTTCCACGCGAATTTCGCCCTTCAATTCGTCCAGAGTTCGGGACTTGTTCACGTATTCTCTAGCCTTGAGGCGTCCCCATAAGAAAAAATCGCATCTGGATAAATCTGGAGACCGAGGAGGCCAATGAACATCGCCAAACCTGGAAATAAGGCGACCAGGGAAGACATGGCGAATAACGTCCATGGATGCTCGAAGAAAGACCTGTCGAACTCGTTCAAGATTTTAAGGAGTTTCAACTGTTCGCGGCGCTCCTCTTGGTCTTCTGTTGATCAGTTCACCACGCCTGCGAAGTGATTCAACCCAACGAAGGATGGTGTTTCGAGAGGGAACAGCTCTATTCCGATGAATGTTGAAGTGGCGACGAAACTCACGCTGTACGACGATGACTGACTCATTATTTCGGACAAAACAATCATAGGCGAAAACGCGGTGCTCCACTCGTAGACGGAGACGGAGAGTACTACCCAACCCAAAAACGTCCGTCCTCTCTGCCGCACCCTGTACAAGGGGTATGTACTTATCGGCACACCCTTTATGCTTCATGTTTTTTGACAAAATTTGGAGTCACTGTACCGATTTTAGCGATAGTTAAGGAATTTTTGAAAATGAGATATGTTTTTTGGACTATACATGACATGTACATCACGAAAAAACATGTCACTCGTTTCCATCGACCTGTCTGTTTGTTTGTCGGCCTGCCCGTTAATCTTATAAGTGCCCTTCGGAGTTCGATGAAATTTTTACACAATGTTACTACCATGACAAAAGGATGCAAAAGCCTTGTAGTTTAGAGGTAAAAAATCTTCATCAACATTGGCAATTCTACGTATCTACTAGACATACTTCACACACTGTTTGACTGACTTTTTTCTCAGAGTGCCTAGTTTGTGCTGAACATATTGCTTTGTGTACTGATAAGGGTATTTCGTGGCAAATGCATTCAACCTACTTGACGACACTTTTTTAATAGAACAAACCTTTCCAACAGCTACAGCAGTAGTAGCCATATCAAGCATGAAGCTGTCCCCAGAAGCCCCTGGGCAGCCTAAGGATAGAGGATTCGTACCAAGGGCGGCCTAAAAGACAACATATAACAGTTATTTTCAATATCATGAGGGCCATTTTTGAAGTAAGTACCGATTGCGCACCGTGCTCGCGCATCGTGTCACTCGACGTTCGTTCAACCTCAGACACTTTTGGCCAGTGGCAGGATTCGATAAATGTTTATGGTGACCATGTTGAAACATGAAAAATTGTCGATATTATTATAGTTTGTGATACAATTTCCGTTCATAACTAAAATTTCTCTGACCTCAATTCAGAACGGTTCTTACTTAAAAAGCCCTCGTATATTAGAGTATCTTTTCTCTAATGGAAGAGCTTTGACCTACCTCTTTTGCCCTTGTAGGCACCATAAACGGTGACGTATTAGAAAATGACATCCCCAAGCATCCTTTTTCTATTGCTTGTAAAGTATACATCCCAGCGATACCGTAGTGATTTGAACCTATAATTTAAATATTATAAGATAATTGATTAACGTATTCTACCTGAACATTGCCAACCTAATGCTATATTCTCGCATACGAGAAAAATATCATAGATAATCTATCAGAATTGTTTCTCTACTTATTTATTAAGATGTATATATTGACTACGTGACTATTGACTTAAAAACTTGGGTCTTGCTTTACGCTTAAAGATAGTGATGTTATCACAAAACAAGTCCTCTTCACAAAAGTGATTGTAAGATATTTCTAATGGAGAATTTATGCCTAAGTTAGTACGACAATATCGTTAACTTAAGCATGTTATAATGACGATAATAATTAACATTAAACTGAACTAGGGAATGCAGATTATTACAGTCGTACAAGTTATTAACTAATTTGTATATATATAACAAATATCAGAAATTATTCTTCCATTAAACAGTGATTACATATTAAATCTTTTCATGATTGCACCATAATTACTATCAGTGATAGGAGTACATTTTTGTAGGCAAGTGAACGTAAAAATTTATGTTGAATTCTTTCACTTCGATGTGAAAAACAGTTTACTGAATAAATAGGAGTACCTAATACAAGGAAGTCAGGGTTCTGGGATTTTCGAAGTTTTTACTAGTCCTTTTCATGCTGGCTTCATTTATAGTTTTCTCAATATAGTAGTCGAAATCACGAAAAATGAAGATTACGTCATCATTTTAGTCTGTAGTAAAGACAAACGGCAGCGATTTGTGAATTCTTTCAATGAAGTTTCAGATATGTTAGACAGAGACAAACATAATTTTATTGTCTAAACAAACTGTATTGCTAATTTGCATGTATCCGACAAAGATAGACGATGTTTTCATGTTGCATGTTAGATCATTTCTGAAAGTCGAATAGTTAGGTTATGTTAAAGCAGGTTAGGTTGTTTTCGAGTATTATTTTGGTCTTTGGTATTCTACTCATAACAGTTTTTTTTAAAACAAACATTATTATTAAGGTATCACTCAAAACCATGAAATAAAATGAAAATAAAAATAATCAGTGAAATAACCTAACTTCGCAAAATCATAATACATATAAATTTTTTGTCATTATGTTCGTGACATCGTCAATTTATCATCGACGTACGTCTATTGATTACTTCAGTACAAATTATGATATGACGTAATAGTCCTCTTTCGTGATTTTGATTATATGTTAAACAAAAGAATGTTTTTCATCGATATAGAAACCTAAACTTTTAGCTATACATACTTTGAAAAGGTTAGTTGCCCACAGATGGTGCAGTAGCCAATTATATGAGCATATAGGGCCTATAGTTAGCGCTATCTTTGAAACAGCAACCTTTACAAAGTATATATAGTAAATAGGAAAATAGCTGTGACAGATTCTCATAGATGTCACACATATTACGTAAATAACCTATAAAATTTCAAGAAACCGAAAAAATGTCAACTTGCTACCTAGATAGTTTCTAGTGTGCAACGAGTACATCCCGCATTTGCTACCTATGAGCGCCATGAGCGTTGTCAAAAGCGTCCATCTATGGAGGAATGACTTAACCACACGACACGCTCATTCCATGCTGCAAGCTGCAAGTCAGTTCCCCATCATGCGTTGTTGTTGGTTGCAGTATGCCGAGATAGTTTGTAGAGTATACTCTGAGAATATGTGTGGTTGAGTAGCAGAGTAGCAAAATCGCATCTGGATGATTGTGTGTTTTGGTCTGCATGTCTATGATGATGTTTGCTACATGAGAAATTTATTACTGAATATGCTGCCCATGAAATATATTGTGACAAATAGTACTGTTGACGCCATCTGTTGGGCGAGTCTTCTACTGGCCAGAGTGGCTCTCCTTCTAAATCGACGCGAAGCAACCTCGACTATTCGGGAATGACGCTATGCGGCTCCCGATTCTTCTAAACTCAACGATGCGGACTATATAACTCGGCGGCCGGGAGATGGATGCAGAGTACGGAGTACAGTAGAGTAGAGCAGAGTGGAGTATAGTGCAGTCAATGGCGTGACATAAGAATTAGTTAGACATAAATGGTGGTGTACATAAATGTTCTATCTAGTCAAGTAAAATAAATTAGTGCATTTCTTTTTGTGGAATCCAGTGATTTAATCCACACCCAAAAGAACGCAGAAAAACGCTACAATATCTATTAGCTGTGCCAGACGGGTTATTTGTGTTGTCCTTTCTGAAAAAAGGTTAAGTTATACATTATACATTATCCCGATGAAAGGCAAGCATTTTGAGACGACAGAGGGGATCCAAGCAGCATGCACCGCGGCTCTCAGGGCTATTCCGGAGAATGCCTTCCGTGACGCCTTCAATGCTTGGAAATCGCGCTGGCAGTGCTGCATCGACGCAGAAGGAGCCTATTTTGAAAGTTTTTGAAGAATTGTAACGATTGGCACAATACATTTTTTTAAATCGACTCAGTCCTATTACTTTCCGGACAAACCCTGTACAACTTACAGTTTAGACCTCCAATGCCATCTCTGAAGCAGATGTTACATCATATCAGAGCCAAACATTGATAGCTAAAGCATATCATGATGTTTAGGCAACACGTACACCTACGGAACGAGTACACATCAAGTGTACAACAGCATCTTGTAGAAAAATCTACATAGTGTCACAACAAACCTATATACTGTCAAAAAAACGACATAATGTCACTTTTCAAGATACGTAATACACCTGCCAATGATTCTTCGGGCGCGGGAATATAGCATTAGGTTAGCTATCTTCTTGTTAATCAATGATGAAGATTTTGAACATATTTTCGATCATTTAACATTTGTTGCATTACAGACGATACGACAACGGTGGAAATAAAAGCCTACCATGAGCTACAACCATTGCAATGCCAGTCTGTTTTGCCTTCTCAATGGCTACTTCCATGCAGAATTTTCCTACAACTGCGCCAAAACCGTTTCTACCGTCTACCAAAGCCGTAGATTCCGATTCTTTCTTAATAACTGGACATATCTTTGGATCAGTCTGCTTGCCTTGTACGTCCCTGATATACATATCTGAAACGAATTAAAAAAACAGTCAAGTTGTGTGTCTTTTTTATTAAAGCAGCAGTAGTACTAAAAGTCTTTTCCTAAGGAAATAGATTAGCATGTTAGGTGAAGTGGATTCCAGATTATACTTGACTCAGACTTTATCCACTGCAAGAAGGTGGACAAAACGTGGTTTGTTCGTATTGGGGGATTTTCCTTCCCATTCCCGAACAGATTATTGTTGTAAGGTTTAGCTTCTACTGAGGATAAGACAGGCATATTATCAATTAATGTTGTAATGAGGTGCCAAAGCTTTCTTCACATGCTATATAGTGTTTCCAATATCAAGCTTCAGGGTGTTTTCAGAATAAGGGAGGCTAAACGTTTTCGTAAGAATATTTTAGGATTTTACCTCGGATGTTCAAACCTAAATATACTAAGTGACATATAAATCCGAACACCCAGTTTAAATGGTTTTATTTTAATAAAATTTTGTATAAGTACTTAATGAAGCATAATAAGTAAATGATAAAAATTTCAAAATGATTGCACTGCTTTAAAGCCCTTTGACCTTTAATAATGTGTGGATGCACCCTGAAGTGCTACGCATTCTCCAACGCGCCTAGGCATGCTTCTGATCAGGTGGTCAATGTCCTCCTGTGGTATCTCATTCCAGGCAACCACCAACTCCTCTCGAAGTGCTTCTAGAGTCTGAGGAGGACGTTGCAAATTGAGCAATCTCCTACCCATCATATCCCACACGTGCTCAATTGGGGATAAGTCGGGAGATCTTGGTGGCCATGGTAACAATGTGACATCATTATGTTTATATTGTGACTCTTGCAACATGTGGTCGGGCATTATCTTGATGGAAAGTTGGATCTGCCAGGGTGTCAAAATAGGGTAAAAGATGGGGTTCTAGAACTTCGTGGATATAACGCTGCGCGTTCATGTCACCTCTGATGAAGATTAAAGGTGACCTGGAACCATACGCTATAGCACCCCAAACCATAACTCCAACAGTGTGATGAACATGTCTTTCAACAAAAAACTGTGGATTCCTCCTTTCACCACGTCGCCTTCTAACCCTGGCACGACCATCGAGACTCGTCACTAAAGACAATACTGTTCCATTCCTGATCCCAGAGTGACCGTTGACTGCACCACACAAGGCGATTACGTCGGTGTTCTCGAGTTAAAGGGAGGACCCAGTGTGGCCGGTATGAAAACAAGCCAAAACTTCTCATTCGTCGGTAAACACTTCGCATGCCAATAGGTCTTCCGTGTTCTACAAACCATTCATTTGCAATGGACCTGGTAGTGGAGAAACGGTCCCTTAAGGCCAATAAATAATCTTAGGCGGCGATCTTCACGGTCTGTTGTTCTACGGCGGCGTCCAGTGCCCCTTGCTCTTTGCGTACGGCCTTCTCGAAGCCATGCCTGACAACACCTAACCACAGTGTCTACACTTCTTGCACTCTAACTGCAATTGCCCGAAAAGAAAGTCCAGCTTCCCGAAGTCCCACTATACGGCCCCTATCAAACTCACTAAGTTGACGAAATCGTACAGGTCTCCGTACTCTAGGCATCGTAACCGATCGTAAAGGATGTCAAGAACCAAAATCCGCCAACGTTGATTCTTTACTGCGGCTGAAATATTCATTTTTAGAGCGTTAGTGAATTAAAAAAAAGCAGTATAAAAACCGGAATGACCAACTGATAAGGCTGAACATTTTTTCACTTGTTATTTACAGTAAGATAAATACATTCACCAACTTTTATTAAAATAAAACCATTTAAACTGGGTGTTCGGATTTATATGTCACTTAGTATATTAATGACCAAGCTGTGACTGTCGAATACCTGGATGATGCTGCCATTGCAGCTGCTATATCTTCGGCAGTTGATACTGATGATGACAAAGAAAAGGAAAATAAAGATGAAGAATCTGTCGGTATGAACTGATACCAACTCCAACCACATCAGAAGCACTTCGAAATATTGACAGCGTTCGTCATTTCCTTCAGTCACGAAATACTCCGCAGCGTGTGCTAGATCGACTAGCTGAAGTGGAATTACGTATTAATGATATTCATTTCACAACAATACACCAAACTAAAATAAACGATTTTTTTAAGAAAAATTTTCAAAAACTTTTATAAATGTGGATTACAGATATTATTACATATATACTATGTATTACAATATTTTATATACCCCTGGTTGAACAATGAACTAATGATAAATATTTTCTGGTATTAGCATTATTTATCGTTTACTAAGAACCAGTTTCGCCGGTCCCTTGAGGTTCTTTATAAGCGGACATTACTGTTTTACAACATACATCCATAGTTTCACCATAATTCATCTATTTTCTGAAATAAGCAAACCTGAATTAAGATCACTATGCATTTTCTCGTGAAGCCTTGAATATTTATTGGTTACGAATATCAATATTGGAATAAGTTACCTTGTAACTAATGAACTTTTGATAAATACGACAGGAATGTTCTATTATTTATATCATTTATCACTAAATGACTCCGACACGATTAACATACGCCTAGTTATCATATTTCGGCTAAATGGCTGCCAATTAGGATATTTCAACAAAATTTAACAAACTTTTTATTTCATTTTAAAGTACAGAACAGCGAACGCATCGCGACAAAGCATTTTTAGGATTATAAGAACTCGAATCCGAAATTCATACATTTGGTGAGTGAAGTCAACAATAGCCTGATTCTGAAGTGGTAATGGTGCCACGATTTTTTCTCGTTCTCCTGACAGTTTATTTCAGCTATGACCCAAAATGCTCAGAGGGTAGAAAAACAAAATAAAGTATTTGGAAATCTTTGAATCTCTGAAAACTTGGTTATAATAGTCAAACAGTATCAAGAAGCTGGAAAACATACAAAATTACTGAATTACTTTGATTTAGCATATCGCATTCCAAATTTTATCAAAATCGGTGCAGTCATTTCAAGGAACACACGTTGACGTAAACAGACAAAACAGACCTACGAATAGACAGGCAGAAAGTGAGAAATAAGTGACATCGTTTTTCATAATGTATGCAAATTATTTGAGTTTTGAAAAATTAGCAATGGAAATTAGAAAGGCATCATTACTTCGTGTTTTTCCTGAACTGTCTCGATTTTGAACGTCGGGAGGGTCTTAAAATACCGAGTCAGTCTACTTGATGTTGACTGTTCCCAACTATCCTTGATAAATGTACTGTCGTTGGAGATAAGCAAGATATACCTTGTTAGTTAACAAAACTATAATGCACTTTACTTTCAGCAGCTATCAGTAAATGTTTCGACAAGGCTATTAACAATGGTTCTAGCAAAACGTTTCTGCTGCGTTTTATTGGTGGTGCTAGCTACAGCTGCTTGGACTGTCGATGCTAAAGATTGCTTCAGTTATGAGTTTTCCCACAAGAAGAGCGTATTAAAGTGTCAGGAGTCCTGCCCTGGAGAATGCAACAGAGTCGGGTGTCAGGTTATCGGCTGTAAACTGGACAAGTGTTACTGTAAGTGATTCAAAGTTGAACCTGATAAGAATTACGTTCTGCAATGTTATGTTTTCCGATGACGAATAAATAATTTGGATGTATGATCTCTTGATTTTATTTTTTACCCAATATACGTCTTAAACAGTATATTGGCAGTTTCTTACCGCGATACTGAGAATATATGGATACACATGTCGCATTCAGTTTCTTGTAGTAAGTGAGGTACCATTTTGAAAATAATTTTTTTCACTTCTCGCACCAGAATAAATTCACAAAAAGTGTTGGTATTGCGAGATATTATCAAAATATTATTTTCATAGTCATTGCAACAATGGCTGCACGTGGATAATGATACGAGATCGCAAAGAAAAAATCGGGAAAAGCACCTGAAAAATTATGCGATTTTTTTCAGATTTTTTATAAAGCAAATGAGCGACCTTCTGGACATTCAGTGCTTTTCAGAAAGGTATACTTGTTCTTTTTTGTTGTAAGTCACGTTAGCAATGTGAAATTCGGGATACTACATGTAAAAATAATAACTAAACATTTCAAGATAACGGCTGGCCGCCATCTTGTTACATCTTTTAAACAAAATAGGGGATCATGTGACATCTTGTTTTGAAGCTCCTAATAAATAAATATAGAATATAAAATCACTTCCTTCTAATGTCAAATGGCAGTCACTCTTTCTGACACAGTCGGGATCGAAAGATGACGATACTCGTGAAATGTATTGATACTTCTAAATATAGGATCGTATCGAACATCCCTACTGTCAAGACGTATAACCCAAGGTACCGACGGAGCTATTTTGCGGCGTCATGGAAATAATTTCAAACTTTCAGTTGCATTTTTTCAAGTGTTGTGCAATGATTTTGGGAAACATGTCACGAATAGTCTTATAAAGCATAGTAGAGTATATTTCAACAGTTGGCGGAACTTACTCCACTGGGACCAGGAGGGTGAAACGGGATATTAATGCACAATCTGGCAACCCTGTCGCAGCCTCACAAAACGGCCGCTGACAACCACACAAGTCACTGTGTGGTCATTGAGTAGCATGGAATTAAACCGTCAGAGTATATGTTTTGTGACTGGTATCAAGAGTTGACAGACCCCACACATGTGTCACTCCTTGAAATGAATAATCAGCTGTATTTAAATAATGTCTTATATAAGTATAACCTAGAATTTGTACTCGTGAAAAAAGAAAAATATGGCAAATTTGTAGTTTTTTTGCAGGTTTTAGGTTTGCTGGTAGCTTTGAGGCATATATTTGGGAATTTCTTAATCGCTGTGAATATAGTGTGGATGTTAGTTCAGTTCCTGAACAACGAAAAATATTCAACTTTATGGATGTATGGATATCAAAAAACCTGAATGGTTTTGTGGGAATATCAATCTAAGGTGCCATAATGGTTCTGATGCACGGCAAGTCAATGAATTAATGTTTGGAAACGAGCAATATCTTTTGGTAGAGCCTGTCATCAAGTAGGTGCTTAATCGCTATCTGCAAGAGGTTT